TGAACCAGTCCCGAACTCGCCGTATGGGGCGATCAGGTTGGCGAAAGGCGTGTTGGGCTGGACCTCGGGCTGGGCGCGTTGGAAGGAGAGGGTGGAGAAGACGGTGAGCGGACGTGGGGACTTTTGGTGGATGGCTGCGTTCCATTTGTTGCAGCTTTGGATGAATACATGTCCTTCTGGGGTATCTTTCACAGCGTCGATTAAAACCGTCATCCAGTCCAGGTTGAGGACCGCGTAGTTCTCGCCGAAGCTGAGGGGGCTTGTGCTGGAGGTGGTCATGTAGAGGGATGAATCGTATCGAATTGCGAGAATTGACTAGCAGGGTATCATTAGGCCCAGGATATTATGCAGCAGGGATAGGGAGAGTTCTCACTCAGACTGTTAAGCAATTATATCCCTACGCAATCAGTACGGTACATCGGGGTCTCAGCGCCCCTTGAGTGGAAGGGCACAGCGGAGTTCCGAGATGCTTTCTATTGGTGTCTCATTGATCCTCACATGACACTTTCCCCACTCAACTCTTTTTGAAGTGGAAATGTGAGTACGGAATTCCGAGGCTTCTCGGAATACCGATATCTGGGCTCTGTTTGATGCAGCTTCTTGCCACTGCGACGAATGCGTCACTTAAAGCATATAAAGCAACCAATGCAACGTTGTCTGCAACCTTTACTATACTTGGAAAGCCTTGCAGATCTCTCCTCAATCCTCAATCAGAGTCATCAACACATTACACAATGTCACTGGACGATAAATCCCTAAGAGCACAACCAGCACAACTGCAGCAACCGGGGCAGCCGGCGCCAGCAAATCTAACCCCAAGCGCGCCCGCTTCATTCACCACAGAGCAGTCTCCTGCACATGCCACACCTGAAGCACCATACAGCATCTTTGATAAGCGACAGAAATGGTTAATCATCGTTCTGGTTTCCACAGCCGCAACTTGTACGGTCAAGTCACCCACCCATGCAAAGCCGAACCTTGGCCGATCAGTCAGCAACTGACTCTCGATTCTAGTTTCCGGCTTCGCATCTAACATCTACTTCCCCGCACTTCCTACTATCGCCAGAGATCTCAATGTTTCCGTCGAACTGGTCAATTTGAGTGTGACCTCCTATCTCATCTTTCAAGGTCTAGCCCCCAGCCTCTGGGGCCCCATCTCCGATGTGCGAGGGCGACGCACCGCCTACATGGGCACCTTCGTGGTGTTCGTCGGGGCCTGCATCGGTCTCGCCTTGACAAAGAGCTACGCCCAGCTAATCGTCTTGCGGTGCCTCCAGAGCACGGGAAGCGCCAGTACGATCGCCATCGGCTCTGGGGTCATCGGCGACATCACGACCCGAGCCGAGCGCGGCGGCTACATGGGGATCTTCCAAGCCGGCCTCCTGGTCCCCGTCGCCGTGGGCCCCATCATCGGCGGTGCCATTGCCGGCTCTCTCGGCTGGAAGGCGATCTTCTGGTTTCTTACCATCTACGGCGGCGTGTTCCTGTGCCTGCTGGTCATCCTTTTGCCGGAAACCCTACGCTCCATCGTCGCCAACGGCAGCCGCACCCCCTCCAACCCACTAACCTGTTTCCCACTGGACGTGTACCAGCGCACCACCAAGACCCCCTGGCAGGACTACTCCCAAGACCCACAGATCCAGCGCGCCTCCCGTCAGAAAATCGACCTCCTCGGCCCGGTCCGCATGCTCCTCTCCAACCACGCGGCGCCCATCATCCTCTTCCTCGCCATCTTCTACGCCGTCTGGCAGATGAGCATCACCGCCATGTCCTCCCTCTTCGAGGAGCACTACAACCTCACCGAGATCCAAATCGGGCTGACCTTCATCGCCAACGGCGTCGGCTCGATGATCGGCACCCTGGTCACCGGCAAGATCCTGGACGCGGATTACCGGCGGGTGAAGGCCGCGTACGAAGCCTCCTTCGAGGCGGAACACGACACTGGCTACTCCGACACCGCGAGCGCGACAGCCCTCGCCTCCGCGCGGGAGGCAGATTTCCCCCTGGAGCGGGCGCGTCTGCGCCTGGTGCCCGTCTTCTCGCTCATCCAGTGCTGCTCCATCATCCTGTTCGGGTGGACGACCCAGTATCCGCACAAGGTGCACATCGCGGTGCCGATAGTCTCGACCTTCATCACCGGGTGGACGGCGGTCTCGACCCAGTCGCTCATCATGACTTACCTGGTGGATGTGTTCCCCGAGCGCAGTGCGGCTGCCAGCGCTAGTTTGAACCTCGCGCGGTGTCTGTTTGCGGCCGGGGGCACGAGCTTCATCATGCCGATGATTGACGGGGTGGGAGTCGGTGTCGCGTTCACAATCTGTGTGGCTGTGCAGCTGCTGGCGTTGGTGGGGCCCTTCATTCAGTGGAGGTTTGCGGCGGGGTGGCGGAAGACAGAGAGGGAGGAGGCTGTGCGGAGGGCGGAGGCTAAGAGTCCATCACCCTCGCCTTGAAATGGGGCGGTATTTACTCCTGGACAATGAGACCTGAAGTCTTGATTCCGGTGCACAGGCTTGCATCACGATTGCGGATATTCTTCCCTGCTCGGACTGCATTTTAGATAGTTTGGCGGTTATCGTCGATTTCCACATTCAGATAGACCCAAAATACATTGTTTCATTTCTCTTGGATTTGGGTAGATATAATCGCAGTCACGTATTATAGCTCGCCTGTGTTCTTGTAGCTTGTAGATTGACGATAATTGGCGAGTCGGATTCCACAAGCCTTCGGCCAAGCCCGCAGGATTCGCGAGTCCTCGTCCGCCAAAGGATTTATCCGCCGTCGACAGGAGAACCGGCCATCCCCTCTGTCGATATCCAGGAAACCGAGTCAGGGATGCAGAAACCGGCAATTCTGGGCCATTCACAGACTCCAGTCCGGAGTACACCCGCACCATCCCGCATCAATGAGCGTCATTGTTGGGGTTGTCACCCCGGATTCCCCACACTACTCAACGCTCCAGGGTCCACTCCATCAGCTAACCTTTTGGTCCTTGCCTGGTGAGGACTAAACTCCGCAGTCACAACCGGTAAACCGATCTTGGCTCTCCAGCATCATTCCCGCCATTGCCATACCCAGGACAGAGAGCAGGAGTATAAAGCAACCACGGCGGTCTATACTTTCGGCCACGGCACGCAGTATCTAGCAAGTGCATACAAGTCAAGATGAGGTCACTCATCCCTCTAAGCCTGCTCGTACCTGCAGCGACAGCCCTCTCGTTGAAAGTCAACACGACGATCGGTCAGGTGTATGGCATGATCAACGGCTCAACACCGGGGGTGGCTCAGTTCCTGGGCGTGCCCTTCGCCGAACCACCGCTCGGCGACCTCCGATTTGCACCACCGCAGCCCAAAGCCCACGCCAACCGCACCATCGACGCCACCAAAATCTCCCCCAACTGCCCCCAGTACCCTCTCACCACCGTCACCGACCCGTCAGTCTACACTATCGACTCCCCGTGGCTGCAGCCCTACGGACCCTGGTCGGAAGACTGTCTCACCCTGAACATCTGGGCGCCGCTCCACCCGCGCACCCCCGGCCCCCTGCCGGTCCTCATCTGGCTTTTCGGTGGCGGTTTCTATGAAGGAGGCCTGCTGACGAACGGGTTCAATCCGAGTCCTTGGATCCAACGGACGCAAGAACATATCGTTGTTGCGGTCAAGTGAGTGACCCCCACCCCCCACCACAACCACGACAACTGCCCACCCAGCCCTAACCGCCCTCTGCCCTCCGCACCCTCACACTACAAACCACCACCACCACCACCACAAGAACTAACACACCCATCTTTCCCCCGAAAGCTACCGCAACAACATCTTCGGCTTCCCCAACGCCGCCGGCCTAGCCTCCACGAACCAAAACACCAACCAAGGCCTGCTGGACCAACGCCTCGCCGTGGAATGGGTGCGCGACAACATCGCCTCTTTCGGCGGCGACCGCTCGCGCATGGTGCTGTGGGGCCAGAGCTCCGGCGCCGCCAGCGTGGACTACTTCAACTTCGCGTGGCCGGCGGATCCCATCGTGCACGGGCTGATCATGCACTCCGGGAGCGTGTTCGCGACGGGCGCCAGCAAGGACGTCACGCACAGCAACTTCACCTTCGTCGCGGAGCAGCTGGGCTGCGGGGGTGGGCTGGCCGCCAGCGAGGAGCTGGCCTGCATGCGGCACAACGTCAGCGCGGAGGCTCTGGTGGCCTTCTACGAGAACTATACCCTCGGGGCGGACGCGCCGGCGCTGAAGTTCACGACGATCGTGGATGGGGTGACTAAGTTTGGGAACTTTACCGAGCGCGCGCTGGAGGGGAATTATTCGGGATTGGTATGTTCTCCCATGGGCTGTGTTATTGGGGAGCAAAGAAAGGGGGGGAAAGGTTGGGATATGCTGACGAACTGGAACTGGAAAGCCCGCGATCCTCGGCACAAACGCCAACGAAGAAGCCTCGCTCGTCGCGTGGGTGGGGCCGCAGGGCCCGAACCAGACGTATATCCATCATCAGACGCTGGAGACGGACCAATGTCCGGCGAATTACTATAATGAGTACGTTTGACCGTTTTTCTTCTCTTCGAAGCAGAAATACCTGACAGCTGCCGCAGACTGCGCTACAACACCTCCTCGCTCACCTTCCGCTGGTACAATCTGGCGCACTTCCCGAACACCTCGCCCCGGCCGTGGGAGAAGGCGTACCACGCCTCCGAGCTGCCGCTGCTGTTCGGCACCTACCAGTGGTACGGGGGTGCGCCGACGGCGCTGCAGCGGGCGGTGTCGACGCGCTGGCAGGATCTGTATCTGGCGTTCATGAAGGACCCGGTCCACGCCCTCCCGAGCATGGGCTGGCCCGCGTATACCCCGGACGGGCAGGCGATGGCCTTTGGCGCGAACGGGACGGTGTCGAGTCTGATGCCGGTGAGTGCGTTGGCGGTGGGATGTGCCGAGTTTCCGTTGCCGACGCAGTGAGACTTGTTTTTGCACTGTGGGCTGAGATAGAGACCTGCATTATTTTATATTGTGAAGAGTTCGAGGATCATTGTCTAGCGTCACTCGACGACGCCATGCCGTCATAGATTCGATGATTCACCGATATACATATATTCATTGCTCATCACACATCTCAACCACATGCAGCTATCTACACCCGCTCTCTCCCCGGCCCTAAGTCCCCTGCCCACTGATCCACCCCCTTCATATGGCCCTTACCCCACGACCACCCGTAACCTCCAATTGAATCACCTAAGAAACCCACTCATAGCTCAGAACCGGGATCTCAAACGGCGCGGCATCGCACGTCGCATTGAAGAACGCATCATGCACGCAGTTCAACTGGAAATCCACACTGCCGTGGTAGGTGATCTTGCTGCCGTTGTTGCAGGTGAGCGCGTGGCCGGAGCCGAGCTCGTAATCCATGTGGCCGACGGAGGAGTCCTCGTTGGAGGTGCCGTAGAACGAGACGATGCGGCCCAGGCCGCGGTCGGCGTAGCCGCAGTTGGACTCGCCGTGGGCGATGTCGTGGATGCGGTAGCCGATGTACGTGTCGCGGCACTCCAGGCCGTCGGCGAAGTCGATGGCCAGGGTCTGCGGGGGCCCGTACCCCCAGGGCTGGTAGTTGGGCATGCCCGTGTAGCAGACGGGGACCATGGTGCCGTTGCAGGTGGCCGGGTCCTGGTCGCACCAGGCGTTGCCGCACAGGCAGTCCTTGAAGGCGATGTCCGCCGGGTTGTGGATGCAGTCCAGCGACTTGGAGCCGTTGAACCAGTGGAAGTAGGTCACCTCCCAGGTCGGGATGGGGCAGCCCTCGGGCGGCGTGATGGAGGCCGGGGCCGGGTCGCGCGGTTGGATGGAGAGGGCGCTGGTGGTGCTGGTGGCAGCGGTGAGGAGGGTGAAGAGGGTAGTTAGGGCGTGCATTTTGTCAGATGAATGGCTGTCTGAGATGGGTATTTCCTTTAGTGATGGTTGAGATTGTTTGAAGACCAGCCCTGCTCTCCCCTCCCCTTTTATATAGTCGATCCGATCCATGGATCGATGGTAGATAACCCCACCTCCGCAGGGTCCTTTTTTTTTTTTTTACCATTCTTCGAACCGACCCATCTCCAACCGTGGATACTACCATACTCCTTCTAGTGCTATAATTATCACCATAGTTGAGACAGCGCGAATAGGAATTCTGCAGCGGCAAGACACCCTACCGTCTTGGCAGTATCGAAGCAGGGATCAACTTGTGGTTTTGTTGGCGGCACTAGAGAACAAAAAAAAACCCCCCCGCTCGTCGGGTAAGACCCTGGCGACCTATTCCTTTCGCCACCGAGGAACGGACCTAGCGGCTTAGGGTCGGTCTAGGTAACTTGGGCAGACTTCTGATTGTGCAGAATACATATGGAATACGAGCGATTCTCGCTCCGTGCCTGGTTGCCGACCTGCGCTAGGGCGAATCCCGCGTCGGCTCGCAGCGGATCCGGCCTGCCTCTTTGGGCAACTGATGGGGTTAGTTCTTACTGCCTGCATCCGCGTCCCTGCGGGCTGAATGGCCTGCTCGGTGCAGCTGAAGGGACGAGACATGCAGACCCTCAACTTGTCAACCCTTTAACTAACCCCCCCCCCCGTATTCAATGCTGCGGGTGCAGCGCAGTGTGCCATTCTGGTTGGCCGGGGGTGGCTGGATCAATCAGATAACTACGTAGTGGGCAGTGGCGGATGGAACATTGCGAGTGAGGAACATCTGGGCTGACACGAGGCGAGGAGGAAGGAGGACTTGTGAGGGGTTTTTGAGACAAGGCTGGCTAGCTGACTCGTGTTCTGCACGGGGATGGATCGTTCCATGATGTTGTGTGTGTTTGTTCTTGGACCAAGGTTGAGGGGTTATACGGTTAGCACGGTTAAAGTCTTGAGAACATGTCCGATGTACGTAGTTGAGTCTGTTCGGAATTATCTACTGCATTCGCCGAGGTCTTGGTTGCGGAAAGAAGCCCAGTATTGCGTTGTGAAGGTCTTCTGCGCCTGGGCATGCATGCTCAGTTCCAACGCCCCGGAGACTGGACTGCCGGTAAAGACGGAAAAATGATTAGGGCGAATGCCGGGCTGAACTGTACGGCAGACTTAGACCTACTTCTCATCAATTAACGTAGGTTATTGCAGAAGAGCTCACTTCTATTCCAGTCTAACATCAGGATCTATCATCGGGGCACCCAGACTCGCAGAGTTGGTGTTAGAGCTGTGTCTAAATTTCCAACTAGTGCTAATGACAACGCTCTATGGCTCAGAGGCATGGGGATTACGGAGAGGTAAGATACTCGAGAACAGGTTATCCAGGCCAGTTTCGCGGCTTCCTGCCCTCCTTCCAAGAGTATTTAGCCTAATTGATCAGTTGTGACGGTGGTTCCGGGCGAGGGGACGGTGGAGGACCTGGGCACTGTGTCGAAATTATGACAGCTAGACAAACCGCGCTACTGATATATCAAAACAAGATGACTCTTTCACCACCTCCGATGTAGTGTAACGGCTATCATACCTGTCTTTCACACAGGAGATCGGGGTTCGATTCCCCGCATCGGAGAAGCATCTAAGTGTTACTTTTTGGTCTTTTTTTTGCTCTTCCAAGGCTGTGTGCGGAGCGCTCTTTTGACCCGGGTTGTTCCGCTGGAATATGGCGCTAGTCCCAGGTAGGTAATAGCGTCATTGAGATAGAGGCCATATCAAAGCTGGAAGGGAAAACTTGAGTCAGCTGTGCGTAGTCTGATTCTTTTGTAGAAGGGTCTTACTGCAATTTTGCAATTTGCATCAAGTCTGGGCTACCCAGTTAGGGCTACGCTGCGGAGTGCCATTTCAGGTGTTCCGCCTTGTGGCTGTCATAGGCGGTTGGGATTCTGCTGGCCTTCCCTCTCCATTTCTCTCGTTCTCCAATGTAGACACACCAAGTACTGCCAGAGCCCGGGACATTTCCTACTGCTGTGCCTATGGCTGTTCAATCCCATTTCGGTTGTAATGATCTCCGGATAGCAACAGCAGACCTAAGTAGCGTCTTACACTTGATATATCGCTGCACCCCGATCAAGGATCGCATTAAACACAGAGACAACATCCATGTTGGAAGCCGATTCTACAGTATGCACCCATCACCCAACGACTTGTTCAGACCGTAGGCAACTTGGAGTGTGACGCATAACTCCAGCTCGCCCGCCAATGGGATCGCCGGCATCGGTGGCCCCCCGAAGAAACCCCGAAACAGAGTTCGGATCCACCTGATCGGGATGCCCTACCCTCAAGATTCGGGGAGCGACCTTCGGCTTTGCGACCGTTCTATGCAGATACACAAACCTACAACCAGCTGGATCCGCATAGATCGTCATGCACAACTCCAATACTGTTCTCTATCTCAGCCTATGCCTGTAGAGCATGGTGAACCAACTCGACCGGCCACCACCACGCGGGATACATCCGCCCGCTTCACCGGGCCAAAAGTATGGAGTAACTTTCCAAGCTGGAAGGCCTTTTCCCCTCCGTTGCCCCACCGAGGGGCACTGAGGGTGAGACCGTGAGGGGTGGGGGGTTCAGGAGCTCAGTCAACCGGGGTTGATTCTCCAACCTACAGTACAAAAACAATCCGACCACCCTGCTTGTTCCCGGGGGCTTCTTCACTGCCCAACTCTCTCCTCCAACCTCACTACTCATCTCCTCCGCAACCTCTCAAAAAACAAAACCCCCCACACACAATCCGCCAAAATGGTCTACACCATCGTTGTTCGTACGTGAAACCTCCAACCCTGCAACTTTCTCCCCCCCCCCCCCCCCCCCCCCCCCTCCCCCCCAAAAAGAACACATCGAACCCACAGAACTAACCTTCCCTCCCGGGAACAACAGACATGCGCGCCAAGCCCGACGAGGAGAGCATCAACAAGCTGCACGCCAAGCTCCTCGAGGCCTCGGCCGTCTACTCCAAGGACAAGGAGACCCTCTCCTGGTTCGTGATGCAGAGCGTCCACGACAAGCAGGACTTCTGCATCGTCGAGCGCTACCTCAACGAGGGCTCCCAGAAGTACCACCTCGAGAACCCCTACTGGAAGACCTTCGACCCCTACGTCATCCCCTTGCTCGAGAAGGAGATGGATCTCCGCCGGTTCGAGGAGCTGGTGCCCGGCGAGGAGCAGAAGCAGTAGATTTGGGGGATCAAAGATGGGTTTCCGGTGGCGAAACCCACTGTCTTGTGCATATGACGCAGTTTTGGGGAGAATTTCATTGCACCGGACCCTCTGGAGGGATTCTCGGGTGCGGAGATATGTGTTTCTACTGAATGTGTGTGCAATAGTTGCGTTGTTGGGGGCATTCGGATACACGTAGTCAATTGCATGCATCTGCAATCACTACATGTTGGATTATACCATTTGAATTTAGTTTAAGCATATTTCATCGGTAAGTATTTGAAATTAATGACTGAACCGTGATTTGATTTGCGATGAGGGTCGCACACAAAGCTGTACCTATAGCATTCCCGCGGGGCTGCAGTGTCGGACAGCTTACCGCCTTCCTGAAATGTACGAACTTGCGACCGACCTTATAGTAACTACTGTAACGCGGCGGTGAGATGAAGGGCCCGAATGGGAAATATGTATGTAGCGCCGGCGGCGGCAGACGCTTTATGTAGCCATCGACTTTCTCTGAGCACAGAGCAGCTGAAAAGCATAAGCAGTTGCACCAATATGGACTAGACGGGTGAGATTAGGTCTCATTGTGTCTGAAGAGACTATCGTCATTTCCCCCCACTTCATGTTCCCACTTCATGTTCCCACTTCATGTTCCCACATGGTCTCGGTATATATGCCGGGCATGCCACTATCTACTTACTGCACCCAGAATGGTTGCATGGCATTGGAATACGAGACCTTCAGCTACAAACCTAGCCAAACTATCACAGTATCATCGGAGAAAATACCCCCTAGCCCAGCCCTCAACCTCTCAAGCCCCGAAGTGCGGGAAGTAAATGCCTCTGCAGGACCTGATCAGTAACCACCCATACCTGGGGCATATGATGCGTATCGAATGTCGCGCCCGTGTAGTAGGTCCGGCGATGGCCCTGCAAAGCACTCAGCTGCCAGTAGAACCCCGCCGCGATCGCCGCACCCGAGACCGTCAACGTATAAGGCGAGTGATCGCGCACCGCCAGGATCTCCGGGTCCGACACGTTGCCGCCGCCCAGCCTGCGCCGCACGCTGTCCACCCCGGCGCGGATGCAGTCCTCCACCTCCGCCTCCGACAGACCCCGCGTTGTACTCCCCACCGTGACCCGGACGATTGTCGACACATCTGTCGGCCGAAAGGCCAACACCGCCGGGAGGCGCGGGCGATGGAAGGGGTGGTCCTTGCCGTGGTTCTCCAGGAACGTGCTGTCCGGAAACCCGTCCACCCGGATCAGCGCCGTGTAGAACCACGGGTCCTTGAACTGGCGGAACAGGGCTCGTTCCCGTTCATCCAGGCCCAGCACCTCGAGGTTGTCGGGTAAGGGAGGCGCAGCGAAGAGGAGGGTCTTTGCACGGATGCGTCGACGGCGTGTTATGGTGATGATCGGCCTTCGTGTCTCGTCCACCGTACTGGCCACATCCACTACCACGCGATCAACAGTACAATCGCGAGCATCCACCTGCACCACGCTACTGTTGAACAGCAACGTTTGACTCTGTCGCAACTCCTGCTCCATCTCGCTCGCATCGTGGCTCTTCGGCCGTACCCACCCCAGCTGAAGTCGGCCGGCTAGGTAGTCCGTCCCCACGTACTTCATCACATACAGCGTCGGGTAGTCCGGCCACTCGCCGAGGCCACTGAGCCATGAGCTGAAGGTGTCGAGGAGCCCACCTAGATGGTATTTGTCCATAATGTGACTAAAAGGCGCGACTAGATCGTCCGGCACGGGGTCGGGGAGGTCTTCGAACCCTGTTGCGAGGTACGGGTGCTGGTCGAGGAGGGTGCTGTAGCGGTCGAGCGCGGCGGTGGTCTCGTTGGCGGGGAGCGGAGTGAGGGGCTTCCCCGTGGTAAAGTCGAACATGTCGATTGCGTAGTCGATTTTCTCCTTGATGAGGGGGACGTTGTAGTGGGCGAAGGCGTCGCGGATGACGGGCAGGTTCTGGAGCCAGGTGACCCCGTAGTCGATGGGCTGGTTGTTGGTGAGGATCGGGTCGCGGTAGGTGACGGTGTGGCCCCCCAGGTGAGGGCCGCGCTCGACGATGGCGACGGTGTGGTTGAGCTGGTGCAGGCGGTAGGCGGCGTAGGCGCCTGCTGCCCCGCCGCCGATGATGCACGTGTCGACGAGGAGGTCGCTGAGGGACATTGGTGGTGGCTCGCACGGGTGGGAGGCTTGGACTTGCGTATGAAGAGAGGGGATAGAGGCCCGGTCAGGAACGAGATGTTGTGTGCAACAAAGGTAGGATATAGACAGGTTATATAAGGTCGCTATAAAAAGCGGGTATGCGTCTAGAGAATAAGGTTGCGAGCAATGGAACCATGGTCGAGCAAAGATGAAGCCATCCCATCGGACAATAAACTTAGTCTCAAGCACAGGGAACTTTGGCTGGGAGCGGGAATACTATCAGCAATATCCCCGCCCCCGCAGAGTGACAGCATCGATATCTAATCCCCGATACGAGTTTCCTCAAAATAAGGTGGCACAAGGTGCTGATAGAAGGAAGATCCTTGCTTTCCTACCAACTGGGAATATTCATTCTCCGGGCAGGGTGACCGTAAGATCATCGCATTGGTCGGGATCTCGCTTGGCAGATGCATGAAGCTGAGAGGAGCATTCTCGCTCTCACCAAAACTATACCGCACTTGTGCGGCCCAATAAAAAAAACCTCAATTGTAAACAATGCTTTTGGGTAGTTCTCTAGCCCATCCCCACCTACCTCCGCGCACTCCGCCCACCAAAGCAAACCAACATGCCGATATCATAGCATGCCTTCAGAACACCAGCCACGGTGAACGAGGCCCCAAACAGCCCCCTGCTAGCCAACACGCCGGTGATCAGCGGGCCCATACTTTGCGCACTGGTCTTGACCACATTGACCGCGCCCATGATGGCGGTGCGCTTGTCCGACGGCAAGGCGCTGGCCAGGAAGGCCGACCGCGGGGCCACATCCATGTTCTGCGTGCACGCTCGCAGGATCAGGAACATCAGCGCCAGGGGAAGGGCGGAGGGGAATGGGATCATGGCGAGACAGATGGCGGAGGGGAGGTGGGTGAATACCATTGTCTGCAGGGAAGTTAGTCTCACTAATCTTGAAAGAGGATTTGGACGGGCTGACACGGACCTTGACGTTACCAATACGCTTCGCAATGGAAGATGCGACGATCATTGACGCAGCGGAAATGATCGACGTGGTGAAGAAGATAGACCCCAGCTCGCTCTCGGGGAGCGAGAACTTGCGCTTGAAGAAGTATGTCATCCAGGAACTGCAGCCAGATTAGCATCTATCCGGAATGCAGAAAGCCTCAAGAGGGGAGAACGTACAGCGACGCAAGTCCCGAAGCAAATGAGTCCAGTCCAAAGAGCAGGAACAACTTGAGCACCAGGCTCAGGAGATCACGATCAAACGCAGCGAACAGTGACGGCTTATCCTTCTTCGGCGGCTGCTGCTGTTGTTGCAGAGACTCTTCGCGTGGACGATCACCTAGCAGCGCCTCAGTCTCGCCAGATTCCTGCGCCTCCTCCGCTACACGGTCGTCCTCCTGGATCGCCTCAACCTTTCGACTCAAGCAGAGGGTCAGAACCAACTTCACCACCCCGACCGCAGCATAACCGAAAAACATGACCCGGCAGGCGGTGATGAAATCACACCCTTTCGTGACTTGCAGGAACTTGATAGCCCACCCGCACGACATCATGCCCAGGGCCGTCCCCGCCGACCCGAGGAGAGAATACCAAGCAAAAATATCGCTCAGATGCTCGTGGGGGGTCAGATGCGCAAGCGTGGACTCCTCCACCGCCCGGAAGGGGCCGATCTCGTTGCCGCTGTAAGCTCTGTTAGCGTGATCCTCACATACGTGATACGGTCGAAATAAGTAGCAAGCAAGAGAAGAAAGAAAAATATAGATCGCAGACGTAGGAAACAGAAATGAGGAGCAACATACCTCGGACTGATAACTCCCAACACCGCAGCAGCCAGTAACCCCCAGAACCCAGCCCCAAGGCCAAAAACCACCCCGCTCCCCGCCATCAAGGCCGACCCCAACGACAAGACCGCCCGCCGCCCCATCGCATCCGCAAACAACGTCAACAGGAAACTAATCACCACATCCCCGACCAAGGTCAAGGTCATGAATAATCCGATGCGTTCCTCCGAGATGGCCAGCGCGGAGAGATACGACACGAGGATCAGCGTGGAGGCCCCGTAGGCGAACAGCCGCACGAACCGCTGGGCGCAGAGGAGCTTCACGTCGCGCGGGGACCGCCAGACGGTGACGAGCCCCATCTCGTCCAAGACACGGGCTAGCACGGCTTTCCCATGGTGTGGCGGATGGTGCTGGTGAGCCTCTTCCGACCGAGACATGATTGGACTTCTTCCTTTCTCGGGAATGAGATGTGGTTGAGATTAAAGATGACTTGTGAGCATGATGCTCCTTTATTCACGCGTGGCATGCGCTCGGCGATAAGATGCGAAAAAGTCACTGCCTTGCATAAATCCGAGGTTTGCGCTGAATTAGGTATGTCCGTCTCGGGGTCGGGGTCGGCCTCGGTCTTGAGGCTCGGGGTCGGGTCCAGTTGGGGGTCGGGTCCAGTGGGGGGAACCAAAGCCGAAACCGAATTGTCGGCCTCACAGTCGGCTTTTCCGAGCAGAAGTTCAACCTTTGCTGTTGCAAGGGTATACAAGGCATTGGGAAACAGACTGCGTGGCTCTGGAATAAGACTGCACTCAATACAATGATGATCACAGTACAGACATTCTGTTGTGTCAGGCAACTTTTGAGCTATTAATTCTCTACAAGACCAGCACCAATAACTGCGAGTCAACCATAAAGTTAAGTCACAGGGCATCACATCCGTTGAATTAGGGTGTAGAATAAGAACTTCGGTGTACATCGGTCGACAAGCAAACAGAAAACGATGCGACCAAAGTTCACTGAGCTCGCACGATAGCAGGATATTTATCCTGTTGTCCTGGATTGTGCACGCGATAGTGCTCGTCACGTGCCCCGTAACAGTCTAAATCAGCATGATGCCTAATTGAGTCTCTCGGTTTGCCTTCCTCAATCGAACCTGATCTATAACTAAGTGTCCGGAAATCCCCCTCAACGCCTTCAGACCCTGGTCGCGAAACGGGCGCTTGTATCCGGCGGAAGGCTGAGGGGTGGACCCTGAAGGACCCGCTTCCACAGCCTCACAGCCTCTCCCACTCCTTCGGCCCCCAAGCTAAATATTCCTGCAGGGCAAGGGAAGCTTGTTCCCCGCTCTGTACATGGAGATGATGGTGAAGCTAGTTCAATGATGGTAATTTTCTCGGGTATATGAGACCTTCATATGGGGACGATAGAGGGAATTAATATAGGGCTGTCTGGAGCCAGTAACAGGGGCTAAGCTGGAGGCGGAAGGGTTCCGAAGAGCAGGAGGTTCGATTCTGACAGACCTTTTGCTGATTGCATACTTCTTCACCAGAGGCTCAATAGCTCAGAGTCGGGGACTCGATTAGTGTTAGTAATCGCCAGAGCTCTTCAACAACCTGCCTGCGGGAGACCATCGGCGAATGCAGTCCGGATTGTTAATTTGATGCATGGCCCACTCGCAGCGCATCCAGCCTGAGCTGCAGGTACGAGAAGTGGAGATCGCCCCCACGCTCTATGCTTATACGCCGTTTGAAGAGCCAAACTCCTGGAAGGACCCTGACTCTCCTCATGAGAAGCCTTGGTGTAGTAGACACCATCTCGCGTCTCCATATCAGGATTCAGGAATATGAGACATCTCCACGCCCAAGAAAAACGTCTCCTACTCAATAAGGAAGGTCAATCATCGTACGTCTCTCATGATAGAGAGACTCACAAGTATAAAGAGCGGACGAACCCCTACTCAACTCATTCATCCCATCATCCAGCTTCCTCTCCCTCTTCCTCTCCAACCTCAACCCCACACAAACCAAGCCAATCCCACCGTCCAAACACCCCAAATCCAAAGACTTCAGTTTTCCACAATGCACTTCCTCACCGCAATCACCACCCTGCTCGCGGCCCTGGCCACGACCGCCACCGCCATCACCACCCTCAAGCCCGACGGCAAGCGCTGCATCGCCGGCTACGCCAACGAGGACGCCTCGATGTACATGGGCCCGACGCTGGGCACCCAGAACTACCACTCGCACACGGGCTTCGTCACCGACCCCAACGGCAAGATCATCTCCGAGATGTCGCAGCGCTTCAACTCCTGGCAGACCTTCACCTCCGTGCTGCCCTACACCGTCGACATGTACTGCGGCCAGGACACCAGCAAGACCCTCACCCGCTGCACCTCGGTCGAGGTGCGCTACGCCGGCCAGGACATCCAGTCCAAGGCCGACAGCACCAACTGCGTCTGCGGCAAGGATGACACCGTCTTCGATGCCAAGGGGTACTGCGCGTGTTACTTCGATTGTCCTCTCTGAGGGGAGTGTTGGTTGGATTGGGTTTGGGAATGTGCTGTCGCTTGTGTATCTATATGTGTGTAAGGTGGTCTGGATTGCTCTGGATCAACAGGTCTGAGGGAGTATTGAATAAATTTGAAGAAAAGAATATGTTTGATATCTTGCTGCTGTAGTGGCGTGGTCGCTTGACAAACCGAAACTACTGGCTTTTGTTTTAGACAATTTTTACTCGATAGCCTTGGCTCTCCATTACTCAATTTGCCCTATTCCGTCCGATTGCAGATCTACCTTGGGATCTCGGAGATCTTATACAGTGATTTCGTCCGGGCTATGGCAATATATCGTAGGAACTCAGACTGAGAAGCTCTCGGAACAATGACTGGTATTAAGTATTCTTAGATCTTATTTGAACAGAATGTATGGAAAAAGGACTGCCGGGTCAGTACTCCAGCACAGGACAGTTGGTCTCGACGATCAGCTCCGTGGTATAGACGGTAGTTGTGATCGTCACGACGTCCTCGAATACACTAGAAGGCGATGCGATGGCACTGGGGCTAGGAGTCACAGAACGAGTGATTGAACTTGACCCCGGCACTGACAATATAGTAGACGAGAATGGCGTGGCAGCAGAACTCGAGTGGATCAATGTGGACGAAGGTGCGGCGGGGGAAGTCGTTGGGGGATTGGACGGGGCGGACAACTGAGGCGTCTGGGATGTAGAGACAGTTTGGCTCGATGGAATGATGGGGGTGGATGCGGCGGGAATCGACACGATAGATGATGGCACCACTATGGAGGATGACGCCTGCAAAGAAGCGGACGGCTGGGGCGAGGAGATCGCGCTTGCGATGACGCTGGAGGATGCTGCCGTAATCACACTAGCGCTGGAAGTCACGGCCTGCGAAGGAGTCACGACAGGCGTCGACGTGGGAGTCACGGTTGGAGTGGGAAGAAGCGTGATGGTGGAGGCATAGGGTACATCCGTGCAGATCTCGATTTCTTTGTTGGGATTGGAGAATTGCGTGTTGTCGACGTAGATGGTCGGCTGAGCCGCAATGCCGCGAACTCCGGAGCTGCAGATCACCTGGATGTACATGTCTAGGCTGCTGCTCGTGGGTACGTAGGTAGTCGATAGAGTCTGCCAATCGGTCTCAGTAGTACTGTATTGAATATATCCATTGACCGTTGTCGTGATTCGGCTTGCTGCGGTGATGCCGTCGATGGCGAAGTAGAAATTGCAAGTTCCTGCCCTTGTCGCGGACTGGATCTTGTAGTCGAAAGACAACGAGTAGGTATCGCCCGCGACCAGGTCGGTCAAGGTCTGATATAGTACGGCGTATGAGGATGAACTGGGAACCATTGCTCTGTTCATTTGTGCGTTAGTAGTTGCCCATTGCCGAGAGAGGCTTCACCTACGCGACGTAGCCTCCGTCGCCGGAGGCATCGGCGACAATCGAAGCAGTACCGTATCCATTGTAGACAGCCCAGGGAGTAAGAACTCCGGAGTCGAATGAAGGATTTGACAAGGCGTTGTCAGTCCATGTGCATGACAGGGTAGTCCCCGTTACCACTCTGGTCTCAGCCGCAGCAAGGAATGGCTGCACCAAAAGCACTGCAGCAGAAATAGGAGAGAAGGACCGCATGGCTGATCAGTTCACAGAGAGAGTACGAAAAGAGTGACTGTCTGTGAAGGCCAATAATGCACCGAACACTAGAGAATGACGGGATGGACTGGACAGAGAGAGAAAGTCAATTGAAGGCTAGCGAGTGGATCTCCATCGGTTATAAAGGAATTTCTGCTCAAGGGTCTGGCTCCGTCGAAAAGAGCGAATACGTAAAAGCCGGAGCTCCACTGAGGCTGAAAGAAGGCATTATCTCGATGAGTTCAAACACGTTCGTTCTTCGGGGTCTTTCAAGAATACGGCGAGTCCGCTTTAAAAAGCGGTTAGTTTAAGCGAGCAAATCTCTGCCCCTGAACGTGAGGAATGAGATTGTGGGATTGGAGGGTGATCCTATCAATCACAGAACTTGGAGTTCAAGCCTTGAAGAACAAGCAGATGATTATCAGTGAAGAGAGATATTGCGAATGAAGAAGTGATGAGCTGAAGCAGTTGAAGAGTCGATGGTTGTTGGTTGCTACAATGATTTGGGTCGGAGGGACGGGATGTTTCTCAGACATCAAGGCACCAAGGCACCAAGGCAAGCCTGAGTCGGAACAACAGCGGGCCGACTGCACGGCTTCTCCATTGGGCTAGGCTGGCTGCCTGAGACTCCTTCGTCTCTTCTTTCTTCCCCTCCACACATCTTCAGCATCTACACCAGTACTGTACACACAGTACATACATATACTATCACCCACCACAGTCTTCTCTCTATGGATCTCAACACGCGCACTCAGACAAATACACTATCCTGGACTCGTGAGGCTCCGCTTCCCCATCGAGAGGACCTGCATCCCAGATTTCAATCTTGGTATCAATTCGACCCTGCCCAAAAGTGGATCCCCACCCCAACGGATGCCGATTCAAGTGACCATGCAGAGCCAACCCGCGGGGGCGACGCATCAAATCTTGTGTTACTGACATGGAACATCGATGCGGGCTCTTCTCAAGCTCAGGAACGCGCTACCGATATTATCACGTATCTCACCCGGTTAGACCCCCCCGTAGACATCGTTTTCCTTCAAGAGGTCTCCAGGCCGGCCCTGCAGCAGATTCTGGATGACGAGCGCATTCGTGGGTCCTGGTTTTCAAGCGATTGTGATGATCTCTCGTGGAATGATCGACCCTTTATGACCGTGACTCTACTGTCCAGAGCACGCTTCGCAGCACCTTCTAATCCAGAGACCCACAACCTTGTTGCTGGCCCAATATGGAGGGTCAGGTTTCCAAGTTATTTTGGTCGAGATGCACTCTGCTGTGATATCTTTGTGCCTTCACACCCCGAGGATGAAGCATCTTCTGCGACACGAATTCGCCTGGTGAACGTCCATCTGGATTCTTTGCCGATCAAGCCATCCCACCGGCCTCGACAAATATCTATGGTTGCCTCCCTTCTGCGCACCGCGGGACGTGGGCTTGTGGCCGGTGATTTCAATCCCGTTCTTGACGAAGACGACGAGCTTCTTGAATTCAATGGCTTGACTGATGTCTGGACGTCTTTGCGTCCCAAGGAGCCTGGTTACACATGGGGGGTTGACGGGCAACAACCGTACCCGCCTAACCGGCTTGATCGAGTGGGGACCCTGGGGTTAAAGGCGTCTACAATCCAGGTTCTAGAACCAAGACGAGTTGGCGACTTGGATACGCCCAGCTCCCAACAGACTAAGACTGCCGAAGAAGCACCGGTTTGGAGCGATCATCATGGCTTACTTTGTTCATTCGGCTTGACCGAAGATTGAATCATGGTGCTCCTCAATCGCTCCGGTAGGAAGTCTTTTTTTCCTGGGTCGTATCTGTGAATCCCCTCTACCGACGCAAGAAGTTGAAGTCCTAGAAATCTTGGGATAATTGATATACAAGCATGATTATTTCCCGTCGGGTCTGCAAACACGTGTATTCTCACTATGGAAATGGCCCCCGTTGTAGCCCGCTCTCTTATCCCCTTAACTCTCCCGCGACATGCAACCTCATGGGTTCAACGGCAAGCCAAGCGCACCCAAAGCACCTGTGAAGAAATCAGCATCGTGGCCCTTTATAATTAAGAAGGCCATACTTACGATGAAGGGCCATGTCATCACCAAAGATCCCGTTTTTGACTTCCGGGCCGCAGAAGATAGCTCCTGTCTTCTCATCGAAAGCCGCGCCGGAACCTCCAATTATTAAGCTTAACCCCTTGTTAGGGCCCCGCATCTCGGCCAAGTCTGGCTGCAAGCCGTGACCCCTTTCGGCAGATACTATCATATGGGCAATGTTCATGGCTGCCGTACGTCCCATGCGGATGGCTGTTTTGGCGAGTCGAATTCCGGGTGTTGCGATCACATCACCAACTGCAAAGTGGTTCTGGTTGTTGGGGATGCTCGCTGCGAATTGCATTCTATAGTGCTCAGGTCAATACCAAAACATCTCGCATCACAATGTAATCACTTACGATGGAAGCACGTTGACGAATCCCTTCTCATCCAGAGCCTTTCGAGGCAAGAACTCGGTGACCGGAGCAGCTGAAGATGTTGCCCAAATCACTTCATCGGCAGTGAGATGGTTGCCATCCTCGAGTTTGATCATTTTTGTGTTGCCAAGTCCTTCCGTGACACTCAGCACGCGGTTCTTCAGCATCACGTTCACCCCACCGAGCTGGGCGACCTGCAGAACCTGATATTGAAACTCGGTTGGAACCGGCTCCGACGAGAGGAGTGCCGAACGGGAGTGCACCAGGGTCACTTGCTTCGTTGGGTAACGGTGTTTGATCTCAGCTGCCATCTCAATTCCAACGGCACCTGGATTCATTAGCCACAACCCTGCCGACTTCCTACTAGAAGTCAACTTACCTCCCCCGATTACCACCACCGAATCGCATGTCCGCAGTCGGTCAATATATCTCCCTGCCTGCATCGCATACTCCGACTTGGTTGTAGCAACCGGCACAGTCGGCCAAGGCCGTCGCAACCCCGTGCCTACCACCAGGAAATCATAATCTAGCGTATGCTGCTGCTGCTGCTGCCCATTCGACTCTGACGAGAGATAGAGGAGTCTTTTCGTCTCCGGGTCCGCTCGCACCGCCGTGCCCTTCAAGATCGACACCGACGGTCTTTTCAGCTCCGCGATCTGATCCCAGGTCCGCCACGGGTGCTCGATGTAGCTTTTTGTTGTGTGTGCCATCGGGGTACCGACTGCGTGATCTGTGAGACTCAGCTGTCAGGGCTTCTGCTACATTTCTTGACTGTGTAAAGAGGGACGTACAAAACCCGTCCCTTGGATCGAGGATGGTAATTTTGGGCATGCGTTGCGGGGCTTGAGGCGCCATCATCTGTCTTCGACCATTGTCCCCGAGCCTTCGTCCCCGGCCACCTCCACCGCCGCTGCCGCGACCTCCTCTTCCTCCCTTGCCGCCTTTCCCGAAGGAATTTATCGTGCCGTCACAGATGCGAAGTAGATTCAAGGCTGCCGAGAGACCCGCGTATGCGCCGCCCAGGATTACCACATGCTGCTCGCGCAGCGTAGATGACAGCGTCACGGCTACCATTGTCGAAGCACCTTGACCAAGATGTACGAGGGTAGTTGTTTTTTGAGGATATGTCTGTTTTTGGTGCAGCTTGTTTGCCGTGTGCGCTTGAGTATGAATGAACCCAAGCCTTGACATCGATCGCATCTACTGAGATGGACTTAGGACTTTTATACCTCCAGTCCGGACTTTCTTGGTTGTCCGGCCATACTCGTATCTCTGTGCCACTCGGCGAATTCAATTCGGAGTTACCTATTTCGGACAAGCGCTAGCCCCGAGGCGCTTTCCGTCGCAACTCCAGATGCTCGGGTTTGCATTAGCACTAAAATTGTAATTCAGAGTGAGGCTTTGCGCTCTCTATGGACTCCAATCCATGGATTTATTGTTACCCAGACTGTTGATTTGTCGCAAAACGCCGAGGTACATACTTGACAAGTGTGCACGCCACATTCTTGTTCCGCCACGGATATCCTCTAACACAGAAGCGAGTACCCTGAACTCAGGTGTCATTTCTTTCAGAAGCATACGAAACATGGTGGTGATATCTATGAAGCGGCCTTCATCACTCAGAAATCGGTATCGGCCAGAGATCCATCTACAAAAAGCACCAGGTTGTACCCAGCATCATCCGTGAGCATTTCCCAACAGCATTAGGAACCGAACATGCTTGCCCAGTGACACTCGGATACCTGAACAGCAAGCTCCCTCCCCACCATCAGGTCATAGGTGGGAACAGCACCCATATCGCAATCCCCCTTCCCATCCAAACGATGCTGGTCCTTCTTTCGTTGGCAATACTCCATCGCTGCATCGCGCACCCTTACCCAGTCGAGGGTCCGTGTCCCCAGAGCCCGCGAATCGACATTCAGCACACCCAGAGCTTCTTGGACCCAGGACACACAGTTCCATTCTGTGGCATTCTGGCGGATGGCTGTACTGCGGAGAATTTCGACTGCACGGTCTTGGTCCAAGATCTTTGCTATAGCGATGCGCACAAGTACCATCTGCGGGGAGACCTCGCTTTCTTCGAAGATGAACTCGGACTTGCCTTCCACGGTGAGTCGCTCTTTGGTGTGATAGCGGACTCCAAGCCTCTGTTCGGTGGGACTCTTGGGTCCGGTGTGTACGGCCCAGTGATATCTGTTCAAGTCAGCTGTCTTGCTGAAGTTGTAGGGCCTGTAGTCTTGCGTGTCTTCCTTGCCTGGCATTCTAGCCTTGCCTCCGCGGGCATAGAGAGCAACGTACAGGCGATCTTTGTTGGATGGCACGATAGGTCTATCTTACCCTGGTTCGATCAATCACTGCACAAACCGGCGCAGGCGGATTAAAACACCACTGTGGGAACGTCGGACACCGCCTTGCCAGCAGGTTGTATCAATAGATCTTGAAGTATTACACTTTCTGTCGAGCAGGCTCGTTTCCAGAAGATGGCATGTCTTCCAAACAAATTTGTGTAACATCCAATTTCTTTAGTAAGGCTCCGATCCAATGATTCTATTCCCCTTGAGTATAATAGAACGTGGGTGGGCGCTTACGCCATGAGTTGGACGACTCCGCCGTGCCTCATGCATACGTACACGCGCGGCTTGATCAATGCACTCCCCTGATTTACGTAGCCACAAAGTTTGGAGTCTCGCTTCCAATAACAGTTCGTTACCATTGGTATGCACGTGTTCCCCAAAGTGATTACAGCGGCAGTTTACTAGAGAATCATGTACTCCAGTCAGCCGGATGACGATGCGAAACACATTAGGCATTAACAAAACCTTTGAAAAAGTACCTGACAACTCTCTCTCTCTCTCTCACACACACACACACACTTTCCCGCTGTACATTACCCACATTAAAGACCCCTGGTCCCTACACCCCGTCCCCTTCAATCGTCCAGAGAACAGCAATAATTACATCCCATCCGCCCGCCGCCTACTCCCATAGAACAATCAACCGAGAAATCAATACAACAACCAAGGCTTCGCCTGCGTCAGCGCCCTATCCCAACCATCCTCATTCGTCCAGATCGATATACTCTCGACCTCATCCTTGCCCAGCTTGAGGCCGTTATACAGATGCTGTGCCATGTTAGCAATCCTTATTCCCTTATTAGGTAAGCAATCATCATTTCCCTTCTCCGTCCCCAACTCATACATAAGGATGCCATGAAAAGCAGAGAGCACGTACAGGAAACAACCCCTCGGTCGGGCGGGGCCCGCACACCGTCCCCTCGGGATTCTCCCACTTGATGTCGTGCTCGACCTGATCGTAGCGGATGCGCAGCACATAGACGAGGGGCTCGTCCTTGAAGAAGAGCTTGAGGGTGTTGGGGACCTGGAAGGCGGTGGAGAGGTGGATGAAGCCGGATTGGTTGTCGAGCTCGCTGACGGGGAGCCGGTCCGGGAGGGGTTCGCGCACCGGCGCCGTCGAGGGGACGAGCTTGTAGATGAAGAAGGGGGGTGCGTCGGCCATGTTTTCTTTCTGCTCGCTTGGAACCTCTGGTCTGCAGTTTCTGAGGGGTATGGGATTTTGGACAGTGCAGATGCAGAAGAAATTAATGGGGCGGGATCGCGATGGTGGGGAAGGAGGGGTGAGACCGGACGACGAACTCCGTCATATCCCGTATCCGTATCCGGCAGGCTTATCCGGTGTTTGCTCGGCTTGGTTTGGTTTGCATTACGTGAGAAGTGCAGGGACTAGGCCAATTACGGATTCCAATGGGGGGAACTTGCTGTTCTGGGATTAGCAGAGGCTCAGTGTCTCTGCTTGTGCAATCCATAAAGAATGATATTAGTCCCAAAACTCCCTTAGGAACACAATTTAGAGACTTTCATGATGGTACCTTTTCTCAATCTTTGAACTGTACTCCGCTTATCTACTTCCTTGTATAAGCCTAATCTCAACATATGTATCTAATGAGATAGGAAATGAGAGCTGATTTACGTGGCCCATGTAGGAGTGAGATGTGTCCCGGCAAGCTTAGCCTTATTTTTTGCTTCTCAAAGGTAGGTGAGCAGCAACCATCGAGACGCAGTGAACTTCAATCCCATTAATCAAACATAACTCTTCGCTCTTTGAATGTCAATGTGCTTATAGTACTTTCGGAGTTGAAACTTCATATCTTTACTTTCCTACCGGTTTTCTCTGGCACCCACGGATTCAATGGTTGTTGATCCTACAGAAAAAGGTCGCCTGGTTGAGGACGAATATCCTGTAGGGCAAATCCAGTCCGGCTAATCATACCAATAGATCAAACGTAGCTAGAGGGCCCGCATGATGCCAAATATGTGAAAAGTGGGCGGAGCTCTGAGCCATTGTTGCAGCAAATATTAGAACACTGCAAGATGATTATATTGATCAATCAAACCGGGCTTCTGTATTATCAACAAATATAATCTCTATTCATTTTAACATGGCGGCTGTATAGTTTTCATACCGGATCGATCCGTGCATGTTGACTACACTACAGTACGTTCCCCTCTTCAATGCTTATGAAGGCACCATTAATCGCCGATGCAAGGGCCCAGGATGGTCAGTGGCCGGTGGTTCATGGTCACAACTTAGTAGATAGGTTAGACCATCCGGCTATAATAGCTGCGCACACACCTCCATGCACTTCCCAGATTCTCTTCCTCATTGTAGTCACACAATCCGAGAGGCTGCGGGTCGGTAGGCCTGACTGTAGATTGGCACTATCAGCTACAGCAATATGGGCAAGTAGAGTCAAGACTGAGACCTGTTGAGGGGGTTAAAGTGCGCGGCAAGGCAACATTTTGAAATTACCTCTGGCTTTTATTGGAGATAGCTTTATTGGCCTCGTTGAGGTTCCATTTTGGTAGGCTCTCCCGACGGAATGGTTTTCATTTTCTCTTCCTTTTCATCAAGGAGCAAATGGAAGAACCTAAATTCAAACTTCAATGCTGAATGTGGGGATGGAGTGGGATGAGCGGGGTATGGTAATATTGAGCTTGTACAAAACAGATGGCGCTTCGCTATCAAGTCTTGGTGGCCAAGAACGCCACAATTAGTTGAGCTCTGGTGAATGCTGTACTACCACTGCTGATCAACTAAATAAATAGCCTAATGTAGATATTAAGTCCGAGATACTTGTCCGACTGTTATCCCCAACTGATGAGGCAACCTAGTCCTTCCAAGCTCAGGAACTGTCTTTACCGTTGTTCTCCAGTCCATTGTAAACATGGATACGCACCCAATCTCCCCAGTTGGCGTGCAAGGTAGGTCCCGGTGATGTGCCGTTAACGGTCAACACATTGCGAGGGACGCCATCAGGAGCAGCCGTGGTATTGCCAAGAACCAACCAATACTCTCGGAGAACCCCGGTGTCCGGGGCCTCCGTGTAGTAGTCACTTTGGATGTCAGAGTCACACCATTGGTCACGGGTCGCTGGTGTGTTTCCGGCACAGGCGGTTGAGGAAGCTGAGGCACAGAGGCATCCTCCAACAAAGGTGCTTGCAGCAAGCAGTAGAGCTGCTGAAATTGAAGACCAACGCATTGCTGATTTAATTGGAAGGAAAAACAAGAGACAGACAGATGGAGAAAGAATGAATATGAATAAAATTAGTGGGAAAGAGAAAGAATGAATAAACTAATACATGTCCGGATATAACAATGAAGAATGTTTTGACCCGGACATAGATTGTCTAGAAACAGATAGGGTTGCTATATACTCATACAGGGCACTGGGTTCGAGTTCACGATAACGTGCGGCGCGCCATAAGAGGGAACCGCGCTATCTGGGTACAATTGAGGCCGGTTTAGCCTAAGTCCAAGTCTTAACCCTTAAGTCTGATGTCCATGACAACTTGAGAAACTACAACGGGATGTAAACCCCGTCTATGTAGGAGTGCCTACGCGGATTTATCTTACGTCGGCAACCCACCTGAGCGCTTTATGGGGTTGGTAAGTGTCATAAGATATGAAGTACCGCAATGGAGATTCTATTCAAAGTGCCCTCCCCCCCTTTTATAGTAGATCGTTTCTACATGGGGCTGAGATGAGGCTAGACCAGATAAGGGGGGACCTTGCGAACTACATATAACTGGTGAATCATTGAAAGAGCATCGAACAAGGGGACTAAGCCAGAAGACAAATACACAGAACCTATTGGGGGTTTCCAAGGTTGGAATACCGGCGAACCAGTACTGTGTATAATAACCAACAGTACATGCACGTAAAAGATTCGGCTCTGGCCTTCATCTCCAAACAGAGTCCCGGAGGCCACCCGCTGTTGGCGATGATCGACCTTTCTCTTGCCCATAACAAGCTAGGTATATTAGACTAGAGTAGGTTTAGGTCTATTTTGTACGTAATCCGACGACATCGATTTTGTAATTAGATTGAGTGGAGAGTATCAAGTTGCAATTTGCAGATTAGCATTTCCAGTGGTACGTATAGGTAGAATGATAATCTATATATGCAAGTTATTTAGTCACCGCCGCTGGAACCATTTTTGCTTGATAGTTGTCAAGGCGAAAATCTATATTCAGGGGTGCATCTGACGGCTATCTGCCTTTCCGCATACCTTGAGCTCCATCACTTCCCACTCGGATTAAATGTTCGTACCGTTCATCTAACCAAATGACTCGACTTCTGTGGGAATTGTCTTGCCTCGCGGTCACAATTCAAGCCGTAACTCTTCAGAGTGTATGTACTGTTGAGTATGTGACTGCAAACTTACCCGGCCATGATACATTACTCGGTATCAATATCGATGAGTCGTCTGTGACAGCCGCAATGCTTAGCACGTCAACTGATGATGCTGAATACCCGGTGTGCGATGTCAACTTTGCATACACCCACGGTGGACCGGATCGAACTAATGTCAATTATTGGATGCCAGCTCCCGCCGATTTCAAGAACCGCTACGTATCGACTGGCGGCGAAGGATGGAACATTACTGAGGAGAATTCCTTTCTCCCTAGTGGAATCGACATGGGTGCGGTGGCCGGTACCACGGACGGTGGATTTGGTGGCTTTGATGTTAGCTCCTGGGAAGTCTGGTTGAATGGCGGCGGCGAGGTCAATTGGGACACTGTCTATATGTTTGGTTATAAGGCCATTGATGAGCTTAGTCGGATCGGCAAGGAACTCACCAAGTCCTTCTACAACATGTCAGACACCAAGCTTTGGTCCTACTAGGATGGTTGCTCCGAGGGAGACCGTGAGGGCTGGAGCCAGGCCCAGATCGGAGCTGATCTAGACGGAGCCGTCATTGGAGCCCCAGGCATGCACTTCTCTTTCCCAGCAGATTCAGCATCTGTGGTCTCAATTTGTCGAGTACCAGCTCGACTACTACCCGCCATATTGTGAGTTGGTGAAGATTGTCACCCTCACCACCGATGCCTGTGATCATCTGGACGTCCGGGTAGACGGGGTGGTCGCTCGCACGGATCTGTGTAAGCTGCATTTCAACTTGAATTCGACCACCGGTGAAGCCTATAGCTGTGGCTCATCGGCCGAGATCCCCAATTTCATGCCTTATATCCCAGCTCAAAATGGAACCGTGACTGCAGAGGGTGTGGCTGTCGCTCGGGAGATCCTCAATGGTGCACATGACAACCTTGGCCGACGCATTTACATGTCCTATCAGCCTACAGCTTCTTTTCAAGCTGCTGTCACTTCCTATAACGAGACCACCGGGGAGTATGGTGCATACTTCGTTGAGCAGTCCGCCCAGTGGGTTGAAATTGGGCTGAATTCGTTGACCAACGGTTCAGCTCTTTCTAGCTTTCAAGGCGTGACAAGGGATACCTTCCGTGACTGGATTGCCACTGGCTTCCAGAAATACTACGATTCCCTCGAGACCACCTGGCCTGACCTTTCAGTCTGGCACAACGCCGGGGGCAAAGTTCTTCACTACCACAGCGAGTCCGACCCCCAGGTTCCAACCTCTGGCTCAGTCCGTTACTATGAGTCGGTCCGAAGCATCATGTACCCCGATCTCTCCTACAACCAGGTGTTGCCGAACTGAATGATTGGTACCGTCTGTTCCTAATTCCTGGCGGCGCTCACTGCGGTATGAACAGCCTTCAACCCAACGCTCCGTGGCCGGAGACTACCTTAGCCACCCTAATTGATTGGGTTGTGAAGGGAATCGAGCCCAAGACACTTAATGGGACTGTGCAGTCTACTGGTGCTCAGCAGCAAATCTGTGGTTGGCCCCTTCGTCCATACTGGACCAACAACGGTACCCAGTTCCAATGCGTCTATGACCAAGAGTCTCTTGATACCTGGAAATACGAACTCGATGCCTTCAACATGCCGGTTTTCTGATCTGCGCAGCAACGGACCACTCCCTTGTTCAAGCCGTATGGCATAATGTACAGTTTCCAAGGCTTTACGGTGTCTTTATCCTAAATCTACAAGTTTTTCCAGATATCTTCTCCGGGAGGACAAGACCGAATTCTGGCGTACATGATTAAGAACATACTTTCAATGGATTTTTCCTTGACAAGATCTACACATAGTCGAAAGCATACAACAACAGTTTCCTCCCCATCCCTGTCTCCTCGGAAGGCCTTTCTCTTAATCTCTTACTCACCTTTGCCCAAGCCACCACCTCTAGCCTTCCACCCAGTACACCTCCTCACATCCCAAGCCAAGCCTACGCGCTCCCAGGCCCAAATCCACCACTTGGTAACGTCCAAATCCGTGCGTCGAACCCCATTCCGATAATCCCCGGGGAACGCATGATGGTAGTTATGATACCCCTCGCCGAGGGTGACCACCGCCAGCAGCGCACAGTCCCTTGCGGAGTTGCGTGTCGAGTACGACTGCTCCCCGATCCAATGGGCCAGCGAGTTTATGCAATACGAGACATGCCACACGAGCACCACCCGTAGACACCCCGCGTACAGGAATCCGCCCTGCCAGTCGCCCCAAAGCATGCCGGCCACGGCAGCTGGCAGCAGGAGGCCCATCAGCCCCGCCAGCGGGTAATAGGTGCGCCGCTGCCAGACTACCACGGGGTCGCGGTCGAGGTCGCTCAGGTCTACTCCTTCAGTCTTATGACCGAACCTGTCGGGGTTGTAGGTGAGGATCCAGCCGATGTGCGTGTAGAAGAGACCGCGTTTGGCGTTGTAAGGGTCGCGGTCGGTGTCGGTGAAGCGGTGGTGGGCGCGGTGGTCGGCGGCCCAGACGCGGATGGGGAGCTGGAGGGCGCCGGCACCGAGGGCTGCGAGGACGATGCGGAGTGGAAGGCAGGCTTTGTACGCTTGATGGGTCCAGAGGCGGTGGTATCCTGATTTTGTTCTTGGGTGTTAGTGGCGGTTTGTTTCTCGGAGGCGGGTTGGGGAGGACGGACCAGCGGTGATACTTAGCCCTGTCATGAAGGCGTAAATCAACGTCCACACACAGGTTTTCCACTGTAATGATGTACTGGGCGCATGGTAGGCCACGTATAATGGCAGCCCTAGGTTGGCTGCCGCGTAGCGGAGGTGCACTTGCTTCCACCACGTCTTGGGACGAGAACCCATGGTATGAAGACCTCGAGGTCAATGATGGGATGCAGTACTAACAATGCGAGTGAATAGCTGGAATAGGCGAGTGGGAGGACGGATGCCTTGTCATAACAAAGCCCTCCAGCTGAGGAGTCATGTCTAGAACCCCAGACAAGGGACAAGTCCCGCCGGCATTTGACCCTCGGTTTCAGATCCACATATGTGCCCCCCTGATCGACTGAGGCCCTTATGCAAGGGTGAAAGCTCTATCTCTGTGTCCAGTGACCACAAGGATCACTCCGTCGTCTACAGCACAATTCTCGTCCTGGCACCCTGTCACCCTACAGAGGGGATTGCACGGTCTGCTATTTCTAATATCTCCGATCCTCCCAATCCATACAGCATCTTCTCACGAATCTCTCGCCGAGCGTTCTACCAAAGCCAAGAAAGCCATCAGCAACCATGGACATCGCCACGCGCTGGACAATGCTAGTCCACAAACACCCGCCCTCCTGGATCGAGCTGGTAGGCATGCTCGCGACCCAAGTCCTCACCTTCTGGCTTCCAGCCGGCATATTCACCGTGTTCGACCTGCTGGCCTGGCCGTCTATCCAACAATACAAGATCCAACCGGCGCACAAGCAGCCCCTTCGCAAGCTCATCATCCGCGATGCCCTGCTGGGCTCCCTGGGGAACCAACTGCTCAGTACCACGCTGCACGCCCTGCAGCTGGTGGCGGTCCACCTCGTCCTCGGGCGGCCCGACCTGGGCTACCGCGTGCCGGCGACCCTGCCTCCCCTCCGCGAGTTCCTGGTGGACCTAGTCCTGTGTATCCTGGCGCGCGAGACCACCTACTACTACGGCCACCGGCTGCTGCACCACCGGTTCTTCTACGCGCGATTCCACCGCCAGCACCACCGGTTCCACGCCCCCGTCGCGCTGGCGACCCTGTACGCCCACCCGGTCGAGCACATCGTCACCAATATCCTGCCCATCGTGGGGCCCGCGCGCCTGTTCGACGTGCACGTCGTGACCCTGTGGGCGTTCATCGGCGCCGTCGGCCTCAAGGCCGCCCTGGCGCACAGCGGGTACCGCCTGTGGGAGACCCCAGACGGCTGGAAGCCCGAGGTCCATGATCTGCACCATGAACTGATGACGGTCAACTACGGCTTGATCGGCCTCATGGATCGGGTGCATGGGACGCGCGCGACAAGCAAACCGAAGCGGAGCTAGTATGTAGTGCCACGGTCTTGTACCCCGCCCTTCGGCACGTAAACAGTGCGACGGGTTTGGGATTGTATGTATGGGCCTTGCCAATGTGATCATAACTCGTGATTGGTATTTCGCGGAAGAGCTTCATATCTTTCCTGGAGAGGAGGCGGGAGAGGTGAGCTTGAGGCCGTCGTGGACGGTTACCACTGACGCATCCTTACGCTCTGAATGAATCCGAATATGTACCGTCGTGAGTCGATCTCAAGTGGGGGATCCTTTGAAAGGCATAGGCTTCAATTGAACTGATAGATCACATAATTCCCCCTAAATGGGTCGCTTAGGCTCGAGCCAAGGCTTGATGATCTGCGCGGTGCGAGTTATGAATCTCCTTGGGTCGATTGTACGGCTGGTGTCAGAAGTCAAACTGGCAATGGGAAGATATCTACTCCGGAGGAGAATGCTACACTGACCTTCTGCATGTTTGGGATAGATTGTTGAATGCCAGTGCAAAGAGAGGAATGTGTGTGTGATCGATCGGCTGTGTGACTCATTTACGCATGCGATGTGATATGTCAAACCACCTCATCGGGACAAACTTCGGAGACCTCCTATAGGTTGGATCAGAGACCAGATCGCGCGCTAGAGCCAATTGCTGGGTTCTCATTGGCATGGTAATGATCTCCTGAAGGAATTCATCTCGATGAGCAGTAAGGAGTGGAACAAGGGGGCGGATGAATCAGTGGCAGACCTTCACTGACGCAAGGGAGCACACATTAATTAGTTAAAGAGGCATGTATGCAGACACGGGATACGATGTAGAGCCGTCAAGCCCTTCCGTTGTGCTAGCACCCGCATATAAGCTGGAGGTATAAATATGATTGGTGGCCAAGCCACTGCAGCCCATGCGCCTAGCGAAACTTAAGCATCTTTGCCTCCCAAGTGACTGCTGTAACTTGAGCTCCCAACGCTCACCGACTCCAGAAAACATCCACAGAATAGACGAACGACAGCCATCATGTACATTGCGGCCTCGGCTCGGTGGCTCTGCTTCTTCACCTGGATCTGCGCCGTCATACATCCAGCCTCAGCAAAGGATGCCCCCACGGTGATTGCCGGCATGAATCACCTTCGCCAAAGTGTTGACTCGGCTCAAGCGGTATTCAACGGCTACGATGGTGGGTGGATGTCGTCGTGGGAACTGGCCCGTGCCGTCTGGGACGTCTATGCCCAAACCAAGTCGGCTCGGGGAGAATGGGATTCCGCCCCAGCTTTCAAAGACGATGAAGTGCCGGACATCCTAGTCGCATACCACTCTATGAGACAGTCTGTTGCCAACACGTTGGGTGCGGCCGGCAGTAAGGTAGGCATTCAACCCCCCCCCCCCCCCCGCCCCCCATCTTATTACCGGGGCTGCGGTTGTGCCCGTTCTGGATGCGTCTTCGGTGGCTGACACTACTTGTCTTTCCCCGCCACACAGGGCTCAATGTACGATAAGAGCGGTGTGAGGCTTATGGCAATCGCTATTATGCAAATGTTCGAGAACGAACGTAGCTCCTTCCAGGATGCGGCGCGGGCGAAGATCCCCGAATCGTTCCATGATGATATTGCGGGTCCAGTGGCCAATCTTGGCAACGAGTTCCAAAGCGCTATGAAAGCTCTAGCATAAAGGTCTCTCCGCGACAGACCAATCACATTTTGTCCCGATCGAGCCAGGGCCTCAAATAGCTGCTGAATTTCATGTCAATCGCAGACATAAAACATCCAATTCCCCGTAGAACATACAAAGCTCGAGCCGAGCTTTTGTAAAAAAAGATTATCCCGTACAGCGAAGCTCACTCGAATGTGTGCAAAATGGCTTCACCAACCATGTGTCACGACTCTCATCCAGCGAAGGATTCCAGCCCCGAGCCGCTGGCTATCGTAGGCATGGCGCTGCGTCTCCCCGGGGGCGTCAACACACCGGAGGACTTCTGGGACTTCCTCCTGAACAAGCAAAATGGTCACGGCCAGGTCCCCGGGTCCCGGTACAACATCGACGCTTTCCACCATCCCTCGCGGACGGGTTCTGTGCGGACGAAGGACGGATACTTTCTCCCCGAGGATCCAGCCTATTTCGACCACCAGTTCTTCTCGCTGAGCCCGTTTGAAGCCGCTCGACTCGACCCCCAACAGCGTCTCCTGCTCGAGGTCATCTACGAGTGCATGGAATCCGGTGGGCAGGTGGGGTGGCGTGGTCATGGGAGGAAGATTGGCTGCTTTGTCGGTGTTTTCGGCGAGGATTGGTACGACATGCAGTCCAAGGACACGCAGAGAATCGACCGGTTACATGTGCTCGGAACAGGATACTTCGCGCTCTCGAATCGCATCTCCTATGAGTTCGACCTCACAGGGCCTAGGTAGGTTCAAGCTGCTCCTCTCGTGGAGGCCCTCTAGTACCATTGGCGGCTTACAGGCTTATCCTTCAGCATGACATTGGCGACGGGATGTTCGTCGTCCATGGTGGGGCTGCATGAAGCCTGCCAGGCGATCTTATCTGGAGACTGCGACTCCGCGATTGTGGCTGGCACGAACCTTATTCTGACTCCGACCATGACCACAACGATGTCCGACAACCTGGTGCTATCGCCCAGCGGTATTTGCCGTACCTTCGACGCTGGAGCTGATGGCTACGGTAGGGCAGAGGGAGTGAATGCACTGTATATAAAGCGTCTTGCTGATGCCGTGCGCGATGGAGACCCCATCCGCGCGGTCATCCGCGCCACAGCGACTAACTGCGATGGACGGACTCCAGGAATCACTACCCCCGGCTCAGTCACACAGATGGCGCTTGTTAGAGAAGCGTACAAGCGCGCGCAGATCCAGAAAATCACAGACACAGGTTTCTTTGAGTGCCATGGCACGGGCACAGTCGCTGGAGATACTGCGGAGACATCGGTGGTTGGGGAGCTTTTCCGCGAATCTGGCGTCATTATCGGTTCGGTGAGTGCTGTCTAATTGGGAGATGGAATGGACCACACGGGCTCATGGGTCTAATTCTGGAATAGGTGAAACCGAACATGGGCCACTCAGAGGGCGCATCGGGAATTACGAGCATAATTAAGACTGCTCTGGCACTCGAACATCGCACCATCCCGCCGAACATCTTCTTCAAGGCCCCCAACCCGAGCAGTAGGCGTCACGTTTGGACATAGTCTTTGGTTGTCACTAACATATTTCTTGCAGTACCGTTCGAGGAATGCAAGCTAGTCGTACCAGTCGATTCTATGCCATGGCCATCGCATAAAGAGCTCCGGGCCAGTGTCAATTGCTTCGGTATTGGGGGTGCAAATGCGCACGTAAGCCCATTCTCTGGCCCTGAATCCGTAGCATGCCACGCTGACCATCATCACAGGCTATTCTCGAGCCGGCTCCAACATCGTGTCGAGGAACTCAGGCTGTAGTCTCCCAATCTTCTCACAGAACGACAAAGAAGCTGCTGGTCTTGTCTGCAACAAGTGCACAAGCTCTCTCTGAACGCGCCCGAAGGTTAGAGGAGTTTTTGGCAAACAGAAGCCAGGATTTAAATGATGTTACCCACACCCTTGGGGTGAGAAGGGAGCATCTGAAGTACCGCACATTCGCGATTGTCTCTTCCGATACCGAGGTTGGCTTGCAAGAATTGCCTCTGGAGGCTTCACCGTCTCCTGAAGTCACTTTAGTGTTCACGGGCCAAGGCGCACAATGGGCGGGAATGGCTCGGGAGTTGCTCGAAAATAGTGAAGACTTCAAAAGTGACATCCAACACATGGATAATGTGCTGAGATCTGCAAAGCCTCCTCCGTCCTGGTCGATAGCAGGTATGTACACCAACCACCCAATAATCAAGACCATGCTTCAACTCATGCCCTTGCAGAGACCCTGCTAGCCCCAGAGGCGCAATCAAAGATTCACGATCCATGTCTCTCTCAGCCTGTTTGCACGGCAATACAAATTGCAATAACCAACCAACTTAGAGATTGGGGACTCAAAGTTTCGGGTGTGATAGGACATTCCAGCGGTGAGATCGCGGCAGCTTACGCGGCTGGAGCCATCTCGCTTCGCAGCGCAATAATAATTGCCTATCATCGTGGAAGATTAGCCCAAAATGTGAGCGATGGATCTATGGCTGCAGTTGGTCTCTCGCGCAAGGAAGTCGAGCCTTGGTTGGCAGAAGGAGCTGTAGTAGCCTGCGAGAACAGTCCTCAGAGCATCACAATCTCAGGCGACACAAAGGCGGTTCATTCGACCATCGACGCAATTCGTACCGCGTACCCAGACGCATTCTGCCGGACTCTCAAGGTCACCAAGGCCTATCACTCTCGTACGCACTCTATGCGATGACAAATCCTTTGCAATTGGCCCTGACTGACCCACTGAATAGCAAAGATGCAGCCCATGGCCGCGGACTATGCCGCAGCTATTGCTCCCGAAATTGAGATAGTCGCCACACATATGCTGCCGATGTATTCCACCGTGCTCGGTGAGGTAATTAATGATCCCGCTAGGCTAGATAGTGAGTACTGGAGCCGTAACTTGATCTCTACCGTCGAGTTCAGCAAGGCAATGAAGGACATGCTCCGGTCCAAGCCCGACCATGATCGACTTTTTATAGAGGTCGGACCTCATAGTGCACTTCAGGGACCGCTGCGTCAGATGTTTGACTCAACCAAATCCAAGGGACAGAATTGGTACATTCCGACGTTGGTACGGGCTCTGAGTGGAGAGGATGCCCTGCTTCGTGCAGCTGGACTGGCCTATAGCCGAGGGGCTGAGATCGATCTTCTGCGCATCAACGGCCCCGGAGAGGTTGTTGACTGCCTGCCACGGTACCCATGGCAACATATTGAGCGGCACTGGAGCGAAAGTCGGCTGAGTGAGAGCTGGCGACAGCGCGAGTTTCCTCACCATGAGCTTCTCGGATCCAGAGTACTCGAGTCAAGCTCTCTAGAGCCTTCGTGGAGGAATGTACTCCAAATCCACGATTGCACCTGGTTAGGGCATCACAAGTTATTCCGAGATACTGTTTTCCCTTGCGCCGGATATGTAGCGATGGTCGGGGAAGCCATCCGACAGCATTGTCACTGTGAGGGATATGAGATCCGCAACATGATCCTCAAGAAGCCACTGTTCCTCCAGGAAACAAGCGGCACCGAGGTCCTCACGTCTCTGAAGCCCGAGAGATTGAGCGATATTGCTGACTCCGAATGGTTTGACTTTACTGTTCTTGCCTTAGATGGAACTGAGTGGGGCAAGTACTGCCATGGTCAAATACGGGCTATTTCTCCGACAGCAATACCGAAAGTCAGCAAACAGCCACGCTGGACCCGGAAAGTGGAGCCCGCGGATTGGTATCAGTTCCTGGCTCGTGTGGGGCTGAATTATGGGACGAGCTTCCAGCGAATGAAGGAGATATCGGTCGACCCGGTGGAGCATCTGGCAAATGCAACTGTGCTCGAGAGCACTAGCGACTATGAAGGCGATTATCTGGTACATCCAACGGTGATTGACCACTGTCTTCAACTATTGTCAGTTGCTGTAGTCAATGGGATTCGGAGACATGCCACCTCGTTGGCCATCCCGGCCTCCATTGACCGGATTAGCATCACGCGTACTGAAGGGGATATGTGGATTCAAGCAGACACATGCAGCACCTTATCATCGACGAGCATGTCCGGAGATGTCAGTATGCTTAGCAAGGCGGGACCAGCCCTGGTGATCGCCGGAGCGACTTGTATATCTCTCGTCAATGATGAGCCGGATAGGGAAAGCCCAATCCCTCTCATGTCTCAGTTGGAATGGGCACCATGTCTTGACCTCATCTCGCCGGCAGAATGGCTGCCTCCCAAGTGGGAGGAACGGGGTGTGTCCCTGATGGCAGAACTGACATGTTTCTACATCTTAGAAACCACATCCCAGATTGCAGGCTTGGTACCCGCGAATACACACCTGGCAAAGTATCAGTCATGGCTGATGAGAACGCACGATCAACTCTCCAATAAAACAACGCAAACATTTCTCCAGATTCCCTGGCAAGACATGACCAGTAATGAGCGACATGGTCAAGCCGCCGAGATTCGAGAGCAGCTCACGCTGCTAGGACGAGGTGTTGACAGGCTAGAAGAAGTCTTGAGACGAGTATCTGAGAGTGCAAGCCAGATTATACAGGGTCACGTTGCTCCACTTGAGGTTCTGTCCATGGATATCTTGCGAGATGTGTATGACTTTAATAGCTCGCTCTCGGACTGGAAGCCATTCTTGTCTCTGGTCGGCCACTGGAATCCTCGCCTCAGGATTCTGGAGATTGGAGCTGGCACAGGGGCCACCTGCGCACAGGTAATCGCTGCGTTGCGGTCGAAGGGTGGAGAGAAAACATGGGCCAGTTACACCTTCACTGACATATCGCCGGCTTTCTTTTCAACTGCAGCAGAAAGATTCAGCGAGCACGAGAACATTTTGTTCCAGACGCTTGATATCACTCAGGATCCTCTCCAGCAGGGATTTACTTCGGCTTCATACGACCTGATCATCATCTCTAACGTAAGATTTGTCGTCGCCTCTCACATAATTCGGGTATTGGCACGTAGCAAGATTCGTCTTTGCTAACATTATAGTAAAAGGTCATCCATACCACACCTTCGCTCGGCGGTGCATTAAAGAATGTTTACAAGCTCATGGCTCCCGCAGGATACCTTGTGCTCCAAGAGCTCTGTCCCGGTGAGTAAAGACTCCGCCATTCCGTCTGTACTCAAGGTCTTTGATCTGACAGCAGCAGACACCCTGTTCACCGATTTCGTCATGGTAGGTCACATGCCCGCGCGGATTACGTTTAGCCCATGTTCGCTCACGATACTACCAGGGCACGATACCTGACTGGTGGAATGGTGAAAGCGATGGACGAAAACTGTCTCCGTACGTCAAGCCGGAGCGATGGCACAACGAGCTTCTGCAAGCGGGGTTCACTGGAGCAATGTGCGTGGCGCTAGACAACAAGCCTCCATACCAGCAGAATGCCAACATAATCTCACGTCGACCCGCCGAGTATCTGCCGGCACAAAAGATCACCCTCGTCTCGGTCAGCGCCGAAAGTACTATTCCATGGGAGAAAAGGCTGGAGGAAACACTTTTGGGACAGGGCTACCACGTAGATTGGGCCACACTGCATTCACTACCTGCGAACACAGAATGTCTCATCTCTCTCCTCGATCTGCATGCGCCTGCATTGCATGATATGGACGAGGCCCGGTTCGAGCAGATGAAAAGTCTATTCTCGATCAGTTCTAATATGCCCCTCATACATTTAACGCGCAGTGTGCAAACCACCTGTCGTGATCCTAGGTTGGGTCTGGCCCTAGGTTTTTCCCGAACTCTGCGAAGGGAGATAGTTGGAAAGATCGTCACAGTTGAGCTTGATGCATTGAATGAGGGAACTTGTCGAGCGGTCGTGGATATATACCACCGGACACGACAGAAGGTCCCGAAGGAGACTCTGATAGACGACGAATATGTGGTTCGTAATGGCCAGGTCTATACTAGCCGAGTTCACTGGCACACGCTCAAAGATCAACTGCAAGAAGAGCCTAAGTTGGAGGCACCACGCTGCTTGTCTGTTCAACGGTATGGGCTTGTTGATAGCCTAAATTGGAAAGCTATTCCAGATGCAAAGCCGGTGCTTGAGCCTACAGAGCTTGAGATAGATGTCCATTACGTTGGACTGAACTTTCGGGTAGGGGTTAGCACCACAGCTTGGAGCCTTTTCGAATGCTAACCGCACACGGAGCCAGGATCTCATGGTTACTCTGGGTGTCATGGGCGATGCAAGTGAGCTCGGGATAGAAGCAAGTGCTACCGTGCGCAGAGTGGGTGACAAGGTCACGCGGCTTAAAGCTGGGGACCGGGTGGTAGTCTGTGGTAAGGGTCTGTTTCGAACACGGGCGCACTTTCAGGAGCACGAATGTACCAAGATTCCTCCTGGGCTGTCTTTAGAGGACGCGGCGGCGGTCTCGGCGGTATATGCAACAGCGTTCTACGCCTTGATTACTGTCGGTCAGTTACAGCCTGGCCAGGTAAGGAACGATTCCATTTTGAGCGTCGGAAGCTTTGCGATAACACAGGCTAACATATCCGGCAGACTGTTCTCATCCATTGTGCCACCGGGGGTGTGGGCTTGGCCGCCGTTCACATATGCCAGGAAATTGGCGCAACCGTACAGATCCCGACTTGACCTTTTCACCTGTGATTGTTCGCTAACAGGTTTGACAGATTTACGCCACTGCAGGCTTGCCTGAAAAACGTGGCTATCTGCATACCGAGTATGGGATTCCCGCGGAGAACATTTTCACCTCTCGAGACGATTCATTCTGTCAAGGTGTCATGAGCAGAACAGCCGGAGTAGGGGTAGATTTGGTTTTAAACTCACTGGCCGGAAGCCTGCTTCATGCATCGTGGCAGTGTGTTGCCAAGTTTGGAAAAATGATCGAGCTAGGAAAGCGAGACTTTTTGGCGCGTGGAAGCTTGAGCATGGATCTTTTTAACGGCAATAGGTCTTTTTTTGGTGTCGACATGCTGAGCATCATGGCAGAACAGCCCAGGCTGTCACAGCGGTAATTATCCTCGTGAAATTGAAATGGTTGACAGACTAATGTGAGATGCTCAGATTGATGGACCAATTTGTTGAGTGGTACAAGGACAATAAAGTACGACCGATCCGGCCGCTTCGACTGTTCACAGCCAGCGAGGTAGCTGAGGCTTTCAAGTATATGCAAAGTGGCAACCATATGGGCAAAATCGTGGTCAAGATGCCGACAGTGGGGGACGGGTTATGCACGAGCCCAGTCAAAATACCTATGACTCTATCGGCAGACAAATCGTACTTGCTGGCGGGTGGACTAGGTGGCATTGGACGCGCCGTGGCGAATTGGCTTGTCGAAAAAGGAGCTCGCCACTTGATCTTCCTCTCACGATCGGCTGGTCGGCGGGCGGATCATGAACGGTTCGCTTGCGAGCTAGCACGGCAGGGCTGCGGAGTCGAGATGGTTTCCGGAGACGTTGCTCGGCTGCAGGATGTCGAAGTGGCTCTGTCAAAGGCAGCCGGGCGAGCAATTGGAGGGGTAATTCAGATGTCCATGGTGCTTCAGGTATGTTTCTAGAGTCCATTATTCTGACCATAGCACATCCTTCCATATGGCGCCTCATCTAACCAGCAATCTAGGATGAGAGCTTAGCCAAGATGACGCACAGTCAGTGGCTGCAGACTATTAGACCCAAGGTCGATGGCACATACAACTTGCATTGGGCGTTAGAGGCGCACGAATCCAGCCTCGACTTTTTTGTTCTGTTTAGTTCTATGTCCAGCATGGTTGGCACAGTCGGACAATCGAACTACGCAGCAGCAAACTCTTTCCTCGATGCATTCGTACTGTATCGTCGCCAACTAGGCCGCATCGCGTCGGTGCTAAACCTGGGCGTGGTGGAGGACATCGGATGCGTGCATCAGGACCAGGCCACATTGAACCGGGTCAGGTCAACTGGAGCGCGTCTCCTACGTGAGGAAGATGTCGTGAACGCACTCCATGCAGCCATTCTATCCTGCAGATTGCCACCAGATCCCGCCAAGATGATCTCGAGTGTGATGATGGTCGGAGTGGGCTCCGTCAAGCCCCTCTCGGCGCCGGGCGTAACTCCCTTGTGGGGACCGGATATCAGGTTTTCGATGTATGAGAACCTGTATGGGCAAGTTGGACAAGATACGGAAACAGATGAGACAGACCTGAAAGGGTTTTTCTCTGAAATACAGAGTAACCCGGATCTGCTAGATGATCCTGCCACAGAACTACGTATCATGTCCGAGCTGTGCAATTTGATCAACGCTCATATGTCTCGCGACGGCAAAGACAACGACGACATGGCCAACATTGCAATTGACTCGTTGATGTCGATCGAGATTCGGAATTGGTTTCGCCGGCAACTCGGAATGGAAATCAGTCTGACTGAGATTTCGAAGGCGGGCACGGTTGGAGGGCTCAGTCGCGTGTGCGTGGCTACACTCAGAGAGAGGTATTCTGTGCCGAGTAAAGACACAGAAAAGATCGAGAAATAGATGCGGAGGAAAGTTGATGGAAAGCAAGTCGCAGTAGATGGCGAGAGAAAGTAGGTGATAGGAGCATGAATGAATCGTTGTGGTCGTTGAGTTGGAAGTCTGTGGTGGCCTAAGGCCCCGGCCCAGTCACATGACCACCTGCCTGATTAGGGAATAGCCAATGCAACTGGAGCCTGGAGCCTTCTGAGCCTGTGGAGCGAACTACCTTGTACTTTGAATCACTACACTATCTCTTACCTCCTACCTCTAAGCATGTTGTTCTTGATATTCATTTTGACAATCCATGCAATCCGAGTTTCACTGCTTTATACACATTCAAGTCCTTCCAGTACTCTTCGACTGTATCTTCCAAAGAGGTAGTCGGTCAGATAGGTGTTCCTCGCTTTCCAGGGCCCATCGCGGCCCACCCTTGGGAGACATTGTTCTTGAGCCAAGATATAGGATGACTTCAACCATACAGGCCGCTGGGCAATGGCCTGCACGTTCCCATTGAACCGAGGTACCATAGCAGGCACACCGTTCTTCTCCATCTCCCGAATCACGCGACAGATCAGCTGTGCTCGCATGTCTGCCCCCAACGTCCACGACGTGTGCGCATACCCAGCGACAAAGCCCACATTCGGAATATCTTGGACCATGGCGCCATTCCAAGCAAGCCTTTCTCCAAGATCGATCTCGATTTCATCCACAAGGATCCTTACCCCGCCCGCGAACTGGAGCTTCAGCCCCGTAGCAGTTACAATGATATCGCCTTGCAGGTACTTTCCAGACTGAAGCCTGAGGCCATGTCGGTCGACATTGGCGATGTGGCCTGTCTCTATCAGCGCGCGTCCACCTTTCAAGGCTCGGAACATATCCCATCCAAAACAGACATTGGGCCGTTGCTCCCACGGGTTGTATGCAGGGATAAAGTGAGGGTCAACAGGAACATGGGCTGGAAGCTGCCATCGGGCCCAGAAGACGCATATTCGCTTTATCAGTCCCGGGAACCAGTGACAGAGCTGGAAAAACTGTTTGAGAACGATCATCCAGAGGACCCATTTAAGGTGATGGACCCAGTGCCAACTTCCGTTCTTCCGATGCCGTCTCTCGGGGAGAGTAAGGAGGTAACCTGGACTTCGCTGGACGAGCGTCACCGATCCAGCAGTATGAGCAAGATCCGGGAGTAATGTCATGGCCGTTGCTCCGCTACCGATTAGTAGGATATGTTTACCGGAATAGTCCAGGTCGTCGGGCCAGAACTGGGGATGTATCACTGGGCCTGCAAATGAATTCAACCCTGCAATTTCAGCTGGTCGGGCCTCGTTGTGGTCAAATATACCAGTGCAGAAGATGAGAAATTTTGTGCGGAGTCCCACAGCGGAGGGTGGTGCTTTGTAATGATGGCATACCAGCTCCCACTGGCGCAAGCTGCTTGACCAATGTGCCGAATGTAGTTTGTGATTGAAAAGAATGTTATTCCCAAGCCGAAACGAGCTGGCGGCGGCGGCCAAATATCGTGAGACTGATTCCCGATCGGGGTGTTTGGTCTTCTGATTCCATGGAAACCAAGTATACGAGTAAGTATAGATATCGGAATCTGCGCGGAGGCCAGGATAATGAAACGTGTCCCAGGTGCCGCCTACAGTGCTCTTACTTTCGATAACAAGATATCGACAGTGAGGCAGCTGGTTTTGAACCCGATAGGCCATGTTAATGCCGGCCAAGCCAGCCCCAACAATTATGATGTCCCAATCAGATCTGAATTCATGCTTCTGCATTGTGCCGTGAGCCATCATGACTTCCTAGGATGAGGAGAAAGAAGATATCAGGTTTCCTTTATCCTAGCGAGAACGAAGTTGCGCCGAAGACTGACAGGGGTTGCAACGTACATGTTTCCCCCGCCCCCTTGCTTCGCCCTGCAGATCATCGGTGGCGTCTTCATGGCCTGATAAATGCCGCGATTCCCCTTCTCAAATGGCTCCAGGCTTGCCTCTAGCATTCTATCGCCGCAGCCTGTGTTCTGCTCTCGCAATTCACGATGCCAGATATTAGCAATGAACCTGTTGATGGCCTTTACTACCCGGTTATTATCATCGGAGCTGGAATATCTGGCATCGGATGTGCGTGCCAACTGCAACGCAAATTAAAATTTGATCAATTCATGGTATTCGAGGGTCAGGGCGGAATTGGTGTACGTCTTCAGTTCATGGCGTTACATGCTCGTTTCAATCTCACGCTGACATAAGACAGGGGACATGGTGGAGTCACCGGTACCCAGGGGTAGCTACTGACTCGTGAGTTTCAAGTCAAAAGCCGTTCACTCAAGCTGCCTTCCTACAGGACCTAACCGACTAGCTAGACCCACACCACTCTACTCTTACTCTTTCGCTCCCAAGGCAAACTGGTTGGGTCCCAAGGCCACTGGCAAGGAGATGTACGCCTACCTGCATGCGGTTTGCGAGCAGTACAAACTTCTAGATAAGATCCAACTTAATAGCGCCATCACGGAGTTGAACTGGGATGCCACTCGAAATGAATGGCGGGCAACAGTCGTCACCCCGGAGGGGCGAACCACTATAAGGGCCAAAATCGTGATCAGCGCAGTCGGCAAGGTCGGAACTCCCGACATGTCGATATTGAGAGATATCCCAGGCATCGAGACATTTCAGGGCCATACAATGCACACGGCGCAGTGGGATAACTCTATTCCCTTGACGGGCAAAGACATCACGGTTGTGGGTGGGGGATGCAGTGCTGCGCAGCTGGTGCCGCAACTGTTGCTTCCCTGGAGCACGATTGGGCCAGGATCTGTCACACAAGTTGTCCGCTCGCCTCACTGGGTCACTGCGGATCCTTACTCTGGTAGAGTGTTGGAATTATGGAATCGATGCATGCCATTGATTACCAGGAACAGACTAGGCGCCTGGTTGGCGCGTCTCGTGCTTCTCAGCATCTACGAACTGTTCCACTTCACCTTCTATTGGCCGCATCCCAAGGGAGGCAAGCTACATAGATGGCTTCAACGGAGACTCACGCGCTATGTTAGCCAGCGGGCTCCTGAGGAGTATCATAGCATGCTCACGCCACGATACGCGGTTGGGTGTAAGAGACTAATCCTCGATCCAGGCTGGTTTGACTGCCTACATGAACCAAGGTTTCGCCTTCACAGCTCGCCTATCAAGCGGTTCGAGCGCTCCTCAGTAATACTAGAACACGGCGGCCAGGAAGTCAGCGTTCCCACTGATGTACTCATTCTAGCGACAGGATATAACCCAGGTGCAAATCTCCTCTCGTCTATGCGCATCACGGGGAGAGATGAAGCCGACCTCCACGACGTATGGACTGCACGGGGAGGACCACAAGGGTATCTAGGTGTCGCAATGGACCATTTCCCCAACCTTTTTTTCATCTGCGGTCCGAATTCCTCAGTTGGGCACGCTAGTGTCATGGCCGGCATTGAGAACTCCATCAACTATATCCTGCAACTCGCCGAGCCTGTACTGGAAGATAAAGTTGCAGCACTGGAGGTCAAGGAGGAGGCGTGCCTGCGGTGGACCCAGAAGGTTCAGCTAGCTTCGAGAGACTCGATTTGGGCCAAGGGCGGCTGCACCAACTGGTACATCGATCCAAACGGATGGAACTCGGTGATCTACCCGTAAGTCGTGAATCTTCCCCTCTGAGCCACGCCCGCTCTGCTAATTGCCTGCAGATTCTCCCATTTCTACAACTTCTACACCTGCAGATCGCCAGATTGGTACGACTGGAACCTCACTTACACAAAGCTGGGACTTGGTCAGTCTCTGCGAACGAGATCGAGGTTCCCGCTGTGGATCGTGGTCATTATGATTGCTTGTTTTCTCCCTCTCTTCATGCATTTCGCCCTGCAGAGTGCTATCAGAGAGACTATATGTTTCCGACCGATGAGGGTCTCGATTCTCAGCACTTCTTAATCACCGCAAACTCTCGCGCTGGCCAAGCCAGAGACAAGCAGAAAGCTACCGACTGGATCAGATCTACCACCGGTCCCAGCAACACAATCAGAATAACATGCCATATCAACTCCGGCGCTGTTGTTCCAGGATGATCGAGATCCTGTATCACACACCCCACCACGCGTCCATGAAGATGAACAGCGAGGTTCCAAGTTAGCCAAACAAAGGCATGATGCGATAGCGATACCCTCCAGCCACAAGCGATGGAGATAGTCCTGAACCAAGCCATCCTTAGTCAACCATGACACTGCAATCTAGGCGGACACTTACAAGCCCAAATGCACAAAAGACTCCAGCATCGGAATTGCCAATGCCAGTCTGACCGACCAGTCCGGAACGGACATGATTCCGCTGTACCATCTCCGGCGTTGTCGGACGAGATCCTGCAGGCTCTCCGGGGGCTGTTCGCGTGCGACGGCATGGATCCAGCCCGTTTTGAAGCCTTGTTTTGCAGCCTTTGCAATCCACATTGTCTCATTAGTCAACCCCATTCAACAATTATCGTGCTTGAAAAGAACGATTGATCGACTCACATGGTACGCAAACCAGAAATCTTCGGCAAGACAATTTGTATCCCAGGTGACTGCATTCTCCGCCTGCCCATTGATCAAAATAAAGCTGCCGTGCATCCAGCCGAGCAATGGACGTTGAAAGAGCCGGACCGGCAGCTGGAACCGGCCAAAGTCCTCTGCCACTCGGAGGGCCTCGGCTACAGTCAGGAGAGGGTTCTTCCAGTGGTTGTGAGCGTTGTAGAAGATTGTTCCCTGAGCAGCCATGATTCAGCATCAAGTTTTCGCAGAGCATCTGCGGATCTCACCATGCCAATATCCTCGGCGCCCCGCTCAATGAAGTCCACGCACGCACTCAAAGCCTCCTCAGTGATCTCCGTCTCTTCGTCTAGATGCAGGACCCAGTCTTGCTCCGACAACCGCCAATGCCGCCGGCACCATTCCAGGACTCTCGCTTTGTGCCTTGCGTGATCTGGCCGGAAAGAAGACGGTACCTCCAGCAGCTCCACAAAGTCAGGGAGCATGCCTACGAAAGGGTTTGGCACTGAGTCAACGACCACGTGAAAGCTGATGCGATCCCTCTTGCTGAGCCGATTCCAGTGCTGAGCGGTGTGTATTACTGTCTGTGACTCCTGCATTAGCATGCCCCTCGAAATACCGGTGGCATCGGTGACTCTACCTGCACATTTGTTGCCTTCGTGACAAGACATACTTTCAGACTGCGGAATGGACGCTTTTTAGATGCTTTCGCATACGCGAAGGGTCGTATGGGGAGGCAGAGCCCCCAGAGGGTGTAGTATGGCGGGAGCTGGAACAGCAGGAATGGACCCAGAATCATGGCGAGTACGGTGCAGTCTGGTGTCCACCGGGCGTCAGGCACAACGACCTCATGGTAGGCACCTGTCCAAATGCTAATCTCATAAAGGCCTATTTGCACTTCTGTCAGTGGAGGAGGCCCATTGACAAGATTATGGTCGGGCTCACCCAGGAATAAGATTGTCGCTGTGCAAGGAAAAATGGCCCAATTATAGTTCAAGATTGCATACAAATTCTGTGTTCGGCTTTTGTGGTCCGGCTCTTTCCTATCTGCACCGTTCTTGAGTGTCATAATGGATTTTTTTCAAGGCCCAAGTCGCTACCGGCCAGATCAGGATGCTCTGATGCTTTTAACTTTAACCTTCGCTCTGCTTCAGACTTAAGCAAGATACACTAGGCTGTGTTGGGGCTACTTTGAATGAATCGCCACTCGTCTCATGCAGTGTCAGTGCGCTTGGAAGTGAGACTCAGACGAGTCAAAGTCTCGAGACCGGGTTGGACATGAACAGAAAGATGAATAACTGTCCAGCATACCCAGGCGCCCATCACTGAACATATAGTCTCGTATTTATGACTGGTCAGTCTGACTGAACTAATGTGAGTAGTCGATTTCCCCATCTGCATTGGATCATCTTGCATTTCAATCGGGTGTTGATGTCACACGAGCAAATTGGGAATTATGGACTGAAGATCGCCGTATTCCTGACACGTTGGCTGTGTAAATCACGATCTTCAAGCTGCGATCGACGGACTGCGAACGTCGATCGTGTGACGCGATCTCATTCCGATAGGTCGAGTGCTACGAAACTCTAGTATTCATGGCCTAGCCCCTATCTCGCACTGGGGAGTTTACCGACGAATGAAACTCAGCTTGGTGGAGCTTCGAGAGTTATTTGTGAGTCCTTCTCATGAATGAGACAGCATCCTGCGCGCATTGATACCTTCGATTGCTTTGGTACAACACACAGTCCGCTACGGAGCTCTGATAAATCGTACATGCATAAGCACTACGGTTCATCTCAAGGTGATCTCCACACCACTTCTGGGAAGAATAAAATCCGATAGACCATTGCAATCATAAGTAAGAAGAGATGCATATTGCTTCCAAGCACACATTCATGACCATGAAGCACCTTGTCAGCATCCCCATCCTTCTTGTGGGTATTGCGCTCCTCTCGTCATGGTGGTCATCCGGAATCCTTCCCTGGCAGCGTGCCAATGATAGAGCTGCTTCGTCAACGCAAAGAACCATTTACGCCGCCTATCTGAACCCCCCAACGGAATTCCAAGACTTCTGGTTCTCCAGATACAAGAATTCAAGTGATCCCTACTTCGATGCCGTCCGGATTCTCGCCTACCAAATCCTACACGCCCCCGAAACACGCACCAAACTCAACCTGGATTTCGTGGTCTTCGTCCACGAGGGGGTGGACGAAAGCAAGCGGGACTGCCTGCGACGCGACGGCGCGCAGGTGATCGAGCTGCCAGAGCTGAAAGCCGACTGGACGCGCTTCAAGGATGCGCGATGGGCGCATGTACTCACGCGCCTACGGCTGTGGCAGATGGTGCAGTACGATCGCATTCTGCTGCTAGACGCTGACTCGGTTCTGACTCGGTCCATCGACGCGGTCTGGAACCTTCCAGAGCTCCAGCCGAGGACTCCCCTCTCCACGTCGGTGCATGTGGGTGAGATGGTCCTACCGTTGCCGGAGTCCTACGTGCTGGCCGGTCTCCCGCAGCTGCGCCTCAATCATACAGCACGCCCAGCGCGCGTGCCAGAGGACTTCTATGATTGGGAGACTCTGAACGTGGGCTTTCTGATGTTGCAGCCGTCGCTCGAGATCTTCGACTATTTTGCCGCCATGCTGGCGGTGCCGGAAAGCTTTGAGAGTAGTATCGCTGATCAGAGTCTTGTGAACGTCGTCTTTGCAGCTGATGGTCCGATGCCCTGGACGCGGCTGGATCTGTCGTGGAATGTGCAGTGGCCGTGGCCGGACGATCTCTGGGCAGGCTATGCTGTGTTGCATGACAAGTGGTGGGCACCGCTTCATCCAGAGACGCTGGATTTCTTTCACTCGTGGTATTGGCGCATGATTGGGTTCTATTCGGTGAGAGATGGTTGAGCAACAGTGAGAAGGTTGCCTTCATGTGGGTGTGTTATCAGATGCCAATAGAGTAGAGAGTGCACCAAGGGACAGTCTGATTCTTGTGTAGCCTTAGTTTCGCCTGAAGGGGAGCACTCCAGCTTCAGTAACCTAAACGTGCTAATGTGCAATCACTTCAACTCTGCCAGAAGTATATCTTACCAACCGTCTCATCGAGCAACAGTGCAAGCTTTCTCGCCTCTTCCATCCCGCTTCTTAAGCACCCGCTTCTTTAAGTGCCTGTCCTTCTAAGCACGCTGTGTACTACTATTGATTAGTTTATGGAAAAATCTGTAGCTAGAACAATTACTACGTCCTTTGAGGTTCCAAGGTGCCAGTGAAATTTGGTTAGAGACTATTTTTATTGGGGGTACCAGTTCAGAAAAGACATATATATAGTGATTCTTATCGGGACGGTCTGAGTTGGAAAGCTGTTCAATAGACGGTCAAGCTACGAGCCTGAGATATGATGATACTAAATAGACTAGGTCCTTGCAAGCAAACACGAATAGCTTGCCTCGTCAATACTGTGGTTGAGCATGAACCGCCTCCTACTGCAGTACGTTCTTGCATCGCATGATTATCTCGGAATGCTCGGATGGGAATCCCCCCTACGGAGCACATCCACTAACCCCATCCGGGTATAGTCTTACGTGGCAACTGTCACGGACTTTTCCTCCCTGATCCAAACTGTCACGTCAACAAGCTTTACTTTCAATTGCCCTAGAGCTTGCCCGATCACAACAAACACTAGACCAATCTTTACTTCATCTCTGTTGAATGTAATATCCGATTATCTACTAATACCTATATTAATAATCAAACATACTAACGCCTTCTTCCCACCACGCAATGAATCCACCTGAACCCCCCACCACAATCAAAGTAGACCAGTCAGTGACTCTGTCACTGGAAGATGAATTCGTCACCGTGACCGGTATGATTTCCCAGAGTCGTAGTGTCATTCCCAGTATTCAAGCTGACCCAGTCTACTTCCTTAGATAACCGTCCCTCCTCCCGCGGACGGGCAAGAACCAAGAAATACTGCTGCGGGTTATTATCCCAACGAGGTATGTATCGCATCGCCCAGAACAAACCGTACCCTAACCCCCAGCCATCCCCTGCTCCTTCCATCCACTAACCCCAACGAACATCCCCCCACTAACCATTCCCCAGAACACCAACTCAACTACAAACTCGACCGCTACGGCATCATTAACGCAGAAGTCACCCCCAAGAACCTCACAATCACCTACGTCGACGGCAACGGGCTCGACATCATCCACTACCGCGTCCGCCCCGAGGAGCACGCGCAGGCCACCACCTGGACGTTGCACCTTCTGGCCCGCGCCTACCGCCCCGCGCAACCCTTCAAACGCCTCAAAGTAATCATCAACCCGTTCTGCTCCGGCGCGGTGACGAAATTCCGTGATCTCGCGGCGCCCATCCTCGCCGCGGCGCACTGCCACTTCGACGTCGAGGAGACGCGGTACAAGGGCCACGCCAGCGAGATCGCCGAGCGGATCGACCTCGATGCCTACGACGCGATCGTGTGCTGTTCAGGCGACGGGCTGCCGCACGAAGCGTTCAACGGGCTGGCCCGTCGGCCGGATGCCATCAGGGCGCTGACCACGATGGCTGTCGCCATGATCCCCTGCGGATCCGGTAATGCGATGGCGTGGAATCTGTTCGGGACGGACGATGTCGCGCAGGCGGCGCTGGCGATTGTGAAAGGCGTATCAATGCCCCTGGATTTGCTCTCGATCACCCAGGGCGATCGCCACACGGTATCCTTTCTGTCGCAGTCTTTGGGGGTGCTGGCGGACTCGGACCTCAAGACGGAGCATCTGCGGTGGATGGGCGACCATCGCTTTATCTATGGCGTTTTGACGACGATTGCGCAGCGGACGGCGTATCCCTGTGAGCTGGCTTTCAAGACGGTCATGGGGGATAAGGCGGAGATTCAGGAGTATTATGACCGTGCGAGGGGTCAGCCATTGGCGTCGTCGGCTGTGTTGACTGAAAATTTAGGGGCGGGGTCGAGTGGCTTGCCGCTGAAGTATGGTACCGTGCACGACGATATCCCGGAGGACTGGGAGGTGGTCTCCGGGGAGGGGTTGTCGAGCTTCTACGCCAGTAACATGGCGATTGTGGCCAAGGACACGAACTTCTTCCCGGCCGCGTTACCCAGCGACGGGCTCTTGGATGTCATGACGGTGTTTGACACGATTGGGATCGTAGGTGCCCTCGATGCTACCGTCAAGCTGCCGCAGGGGAAATGCTTCGAGCTCGGCGACGTGCACATGCGGAAGGTCTCGGCGTACCGTCTTACCCCTAAGGAGAAGGAGGGGTGCATCAGTGTGGATGGGGAGTGGTATCCGTTTGAGGCCTTTCAGGTAGAGGTGCACCAGGGTCTGGGTCGGGTGCTCTCAAATGTGCGTCATGCGTACCACGTATGAGACCCATGAAAGATATTCGCAAGACGAATAGTTTCGGAACCTGGTCATCCCAATACCCATTTTAGGGATAATTCCAGAAGGATTTAGACTCTTAGCAAGCCAGGCAGCTCGAAGCTAGATGTGGTTTTGCCGTGATGGAGACAGGGAAACAGGAGGAAAGTGGGAAAATCCCAGCGCATACAGAACTTTCAATGTAACACTAGGATCTCTTGATTAATATGTCTGCCCAAGTCGATGACAGTTCATTGAATCATGTAATCTTTACTTTGTATCACAAACTATCCGAGATCGTGGCCTTGGAAGTGGACCTTAGACTAAGGTATTGTGAAGAAATGTATCACCAGTTTCGCTTATACGGCATAAAGACCAGAAACCTAGGAGTTTTGAAAAGGGAATTGCTATTCTAGAGACTGGGATTGTACGATCTATCGGAGACGATCCGATGAGAAAGTTGTAGTCCAGATCCGATCCCACCCCTCAAGACAGAAGAGCCAGGATCTATGACAAGTGAAAGAAGCAAAGTCCACATCGCCACCCTTCTCTAACCAGTCCCCGGTCCCCTTTACTGAAGGCATTTCCAGTGATTCTCCAAGCTAACCTCCGAGTTCAGAGCCGCGGAATACCTTCCAGCCCATTGATAGTAAGCATAAACACTTCTTGACAATCCATCACTGTAAAGTTCTGCGCCCTTTGTCAGACTATCGAGCGCGTGGTGACTTCGCCCTATCTGCTTTCCTCCCCTTGACTATCATTCTACCCAGCCCATGACAACCCCTTCCAAAAAGAGAACAAGCACCAAGGATGTCGACATCGTAAGATCTCTACACAATATGACAAATCTAGTACATAGTATGAACAGTCCACCCAACTAATCCCACGTCCCACCTCAAAACGCATCCACGACCTACCTCTACCCAATAGCTCGCCTCATATCCCCAACTTTATAACCCTGACCGCCAGCCCTTACCTCACCCAAAACTCGGCCACCAACCCGGCCACCTCCGACACCCTCTCCCTCACCACCCCATGCCCCACCCCCTGCACGACATGCACATCCCCAAACCCCAACTCCCCCAACTCCTGCACGGTACACAAATCATCCAACTCGCCCAACACACACCGCGCCGGAATCCCCTTCTCGGCCGCCACTTTAAAGGTGTCATGCATATCCATGACCCCACCATCCCGAAAGATCCCCACCACGCTGGCCGCATGGCCCGGGTGCTCCTCCATCTGCCACTTGCGCACCATCTGCGCCACGACCTCGCCTCGGGCGACCCTCTTCTCCCAGTCCGCCGGCACCACCAACGGCCCGCCCTCCAACCACTCCAGGATCCAGTCGCGGGCCCGCCGCTCGACAGCCTCGTCACCATCATCCCCCTTCAAAAGCACCCGCTGCTGCTCGGTGAACTGCGCAGCACGGAGCAACCCCGCCGGCGCGACGAGGACCATACTCTCCACCCGTTCGGGAAACCGGGCGGCGAAGGTGGCGGTGGTGGCGCCGCCGAAGGAGTAACCCACAAAATGGGCGGAGGGCCAGCGCAGGTGGTCGAGCACGGCTGAAATGAGGTCGTGGAAGAGGGCCGGCGCGTGCGGCTGCCGCGGCGTCGCGGAGAGGCCGTGGCCCCAGTGGTCGAAGAGGAGGCAGTGCGCGGCGGGGAAGCGCGCGGCCAGGGCACGCGCCAGCGGGGCCATGCCTATCGCGCTGGTTTGGACGCCGTGCACGAAGAGGATTCTTGTGGGCCCGCGTCCTGGAGTAGTGGCTGTCGGGGGGATGGAGTAGTAGGCTGCTTGGCCGGCTGAGGTTTGGAGGTAGGAGGCTTGGGGCAGGATGGTGCCGAAGGTGGAGGTGAAGGCTGCTTCGCTGGGGGCGGGGATGGAGGACGCTGGCTCGGGGATTGTGGTCCCGGGACGCGGGAGGACGACTAGCGGAAAGGTGGGCATTGTGAGGATGGGGTTTTGCTTGTGTTAGATGGGAGGATAGTGCAATCGAGCGTCACGTAGAGGAGACACTAGAGGGGAATTGCGGGGTGGGGGGGTGGGTTGTTTATGCTCCAAATTTCCTTATCGTCAGATTCGGCTTGTTCGGCTGACTAATCTCTTGATAGGGAGATAAAGGTCGCGTCATTCTGTTTCGGGGTCAAGCAGATGCTAAAAATAATTACATAATTGAGAGTGTAATATGGTTATGTGGAGCTTTTCTGCAGTAATACGCCTCATGAGGGAGCCGTATGTCCTAGGACCAATAGTACGGGTGTGACGCAGAGGGCTGCCTGAACATATCGTGGGAAAATGATCACGTGTGTTATGATCGTGAGAGTATGTAGCCTAGAGTGGAAAGAAAAAAATGAAGAAATAGGATGCCTACAATAAAAAAAGCAATTTTTCGGGATTGGAATCACGCATGCCACAAACATTCTACTTCATACCGATCGACCACACGTGGAGTAGTTCTCCGTATCTACCTGAGTACACATTTGGGCAAGCCCTAAAAGCCCCACAGGCACCCGAATCTGCAGCTTCGGGGTTATCTTCCGAGAACCTCAACGCCTAGTCGAGCTTTGCTCGCCCGATTGACTCGCAGCATTGTATGAGAAGACTCCCAGTCCTTTACAGTATCTAGTAGAAATGATGTATTTGACCCTGAATGGCTCTCTATAGGGGTGTACCGGTAAATTGCACGCGAGCACTGGCGCTCTTCTTCCTATCTGCAAACCTCGAGCCCACTTGAGTGATTTGCACGATTGAGCTAGGGCAGCACTAGTGCAAACACCCACTGTCGCTTCCATCTTTTCATAGGAGCTCGGAGCTCGTGAGGAGGAAACAGGGGTCGACCAAATCCAGCTGCAGTGGCAGCTTCACTCGGAAACCATGCGATTGCGGATTAGCGACTGAGCTCAGCTCTGCAGCATGACGTGGTGGGGTCGCTTCCCTAGTACTCAGGGCTCATCGAGTCACTGGCCTCAGAACTACTCCTTTACACCGCGAGCCGGTGCCGGGAGAGCTGGCGCCGGAGCAAGCGGCGGGATGAGTGGCGGGATGAGTCCCCGGACAAACTCCGCGGCAGCTACGCCAACGACAACGACAACGGATCTACCGGCATCGGCAGTGTCTTTGTCGACGCCTACAACGCCTTCACGGACCATGTGGGTCGGACATTCACCGGGCGGCGGCAGAGGGGGGTCTATTTCAATGGCCGGACGGGCACTTTCGATTTTGTGGATTACATATGTGAGAGGTCGTCAACTAGTAGTGTCTGAGAAGTCATGTCTCATTGAGCCTAAAGATTTCGACATCACATCGATCACATTACAGCGGCGATACGGCCGACCTCATCATCATCAAGTGGGTTGCCCCTTCAGATTCTCAAGCCGATTCTGGATGGCTTGCGGGTCGTATTGCCCTTCTTCCTCCTTGTATTCCTTCAACACCACCGTGCGCATCAACCGTCGAGGCGCACGGCGGCCCGTGAACAATTCAAATTGGGCGAATCCTTGCTCCGGGAGAACATCCAACCCATCCAATGCCACCCAGCCGCGGTGGGAGAGCGCGCGGATCTGCTTGATTAGCGGAGTGTTGAGGGATTTGTAGGCCAACTAACCAGAAAATGTCAGTTCTGCTTGCGGGATATCGTGTTTGCGCGATTGAATTGCGAGACCAAGACTTACTTCGACAACTACACCACCCGTCGGGCTCTCCAGCCACTGGGACGGGATCTCATTATTGGGCGCCGGTTCCCCTCCGATGCTGTGGGTGGGAATGCAGGAGCAGATGACGGTCGGTTGCTTGTAATTGACAGGCCAGCTGTCTTGTTGCGATCGTAGAACATGAACATGAGGGCGGGTCGTTGACCCGGCTCGGCCGGGCGACCGCAGGTTTTGTTGGTTGTAGTGCCGGGCTAGCTTCTCCGCATTGGCAGCGGTGCGGTTGAACACAAAGATGTTCTGCACCCCCAGATGAATCATGGCGTAGACGGCAGCGCGAGCCATACCACCTGCACCTATAACCAACCCGGTGGACAGAGGTCGAATGGCATTCGCAGGGGATAGGCCTCGTCGGAAGCAGTTACCAATGCCAATCCAGTCAGTGTTATCTCCATGCAAAGCTTTCACGGGGCCCGCGCGGCTCTTGCCCATAAGCAAAGGGGAACCATCGCCATCCAGAGTCTTTTCGTCGCCCTCCCGAATCGGTACCAAGGTGTTCACAGCACCGATGGCGCGGGCGTGAGGAGACATCGAATGGAGGAGGGGAATTACTTCTGTCTTGTACGGCAAGGCGACACTGGTGCCGCCAAAGTGTGGATTGGAGACCAGATCATTCAGTCCACGCAAGGTAGATGACTGGTGGGTTCGGTAGACATGCGGCATGCCACAGAGATTGTATGCCGCGTTGTGCATGATTGGCGACAGACTGTAGGTGACGTTGCCGCCGAACAGAAAGAACTGCATAGGGTCCAGAGTGAAGGAGGAGTAGAGAGCTTCCTGGGCTTCACGCAACGTGATACAGGGAAGCCCGTTGAGTTGTGTTTCAGAGAGAAGAGACTGATGTGTCACAGGCGTCAAGATCGGGTTGAAACAACAAGACAACCGGCCCAGCAGTCCTGAGTTGTATGCTATAAGAGGTAGAGGAGTCGGAAGCAACTTGAAGGAGTCGCGAAACCTTTGAACTGCAAAATTGTCATCTATGGAGGTCGCCGGCTGAGTCAATCGTACTAGATCACAGCCCAGCCGTTTTGCTCGCTCGTAAAGATTCATGTATGTCGGGTCGTCCCACCCCCTCGGCGGAGGCTGAGCCGCAGCATAATGGCCGATCACACGGCTCGAGCCCTTCGACGCGATGATTTGAGACAAGAGGTCGTCGCTATACGACAGGTCGACCGTCACGAATTCCGGAGCCAGGCGCAGCCCATGCTGGATAAGGTTCAAATACTCGTTGGTGGGCCGACGCGAGTGTTCGTTGTGCTCACCGTTCTGGCTACTGAAGCCTACACTACTTTCCACGTGATATACGAGTGGAACGACAGTATTTCGTCGAATGTTTGCGACCGCATGGCTGATCTTGTCGGCGATGCCGGAGTCCACAGCTAGTCGCGAGGAGGGCGGTTCCGTGATGTCAATCTTGAGTTCGAATGCATCAGATGTAGACTCAAGGTCTTCGATGTCCAGGTCCCGCTCCAACAACGAAGAAATCGGCACTGTCACAGCGTAAGTAAACGCCCGCGACTCGATCGCTTGCATGGACAGCGGGAAGGACGCGTTCAGACTGCTCAAGTCATTGGCATCGCCCGTAGCAAACGCAATAAACCGGAGAAAGTCGAGCTGCAATCGTTTCAGAGTCAGGAAGGGCGTGATAGCCTGGAAGCGCTGGTCCAGATCCAGCTCCAACTGAGCGTGGTTACCGTCCTTGGCGGCCGCATGCTCCGCCATGCCTTTCTCCGACACGTTGAAGAACTCCAGGTTGGAACACGCCCGATAGATCGGCCCCGCCAGGCCGAGGAACCGACGGACTTTGTCGACATTCCACGCCTTCAGATAAGACTGGATGCTTTCTGCGTCCCGGAGGAGATAGATCACCGGATGGGTTCTGGCGTACTCACGGAGCAGCATCTGCCCACTGCGCTCCATAGAACCCGGCCCGCAGGCAATCACGCACCCTTCCTGATGGTCTGCCAGCATCGACTCCATCACTCGGGCTTCCTGCTGTCGATAGTCCACCAATTCAAATTCTTTTTTGTACGCCGCGCGCGACCGGCCGGTGACCTGTTGGAAGTACCGGTCCGCGTCGATCAACCTCCGCCCCGACGTGGCTGCCAGTATCACCGCCAAACTGGATTTGCCGGTTCCTCGGATGCCGATCAGCACGATGGATGAGTTCCGCGCGAACTTTCGGGGCACCTGGGTGGCGCTTTCGAAGGCCGTGGGAGACCCTCGGCTAGAGGTAACCCCCCGCAGCGAAGGGGCAAACCAATGTGAGGCCTCTGGGTTGTCTCCGGGGAGGCTGTGTACTCGTTCCCTCGGGGTCTCATCTCCATAGGCTGGATCGACGGATTGGGAGCCACTGGAGACATACGGGCTATGCGACAAACGCCGGTGGTTCTGTGCGATGGGACCATCGAGGTCATCTAGTTTGCGCTTGGGTGGTTTCACGATCACTGACATTATAGCGGTGGCGGGGTTTGATCCGAGTCCACGGGGGAGTTATAACGGGGAAGAGTGGGCGTTATATTGAGGATGTGATCTCTGACGGAGTGGCGCATGACTTGGGAGGATGTGATGCAGGAACCGACAGGGTGTGGGAGGAATAGGACGGGGGGTTTAGGCCATGGGGGGTCGGTGCGAAATGCGAGGAAGATGCGACAGAGGGGTAGACCGGATAGAGTTGTGGTGTATAGGCGAAGGATGAGAAGAATTGGCAATGGTCGCACACAAGCTGGTTTGAAGTTCAGAGGTGAAGAAGGTGAAGAAGAGAAAAGAGAAAAATACCAGGTGGAGGAGGGAGGGAGGGAGAGGTGGGAGAGGAGGAGAAGTGTGTGGGTGAACTGGGTTGGGCTGGGTTGGAGAGAGAGAAAAGATGTGGGGGAAGAAAGAGGCAGGCGGGCGGGCGGGAGCGAGCGAACAGCAAAAGCACCCAAAGAAGCGATCGGTGGAAAAGAAGAGCCCGGCAAAGCGGTTGGAGAACAGCCAAGAAATGCGGAGAAAGGCTCACCCGTTCCTCACTCTATCCACTTCCTGGCTAATCAATTCCCGTTCTCACCGGTGCTATTCTTCATTAATAATTTTCCTTGGTTGACTCGCTTCCTCGCTTCCTCGCGTCCTCGCTTACCCCGTGGGGTCAACAACCAAAGCCTCGGTTGCATCTTGGGTCAAGGCTGGGCCTGGGGCTGAGTGGCCGTCCCATTGATTCAAGTTTCCAGCTCATCAATCATACCATAGGGATTATTGATGGTGGTCGAGGCTTTACCACTATGTAGTTGAAAATTACTCTGCGAGTAAGTGATCTTGTTTGTTTTCTACCGCAAATTGGTCCATGTGCTCTGACCCTGCAGATCATCGCGAACCGAACTGTTATGTTCTTCCGCTGCAAGTCGACCGGGCCGGTGTGCTGACAAGGCATCAAATATCGCTGCCTGGCGTTACCACTTATCGACACACACACACACTGGGCATCATGCATATCCTGCGCGCACCACTCATTAATGTACCCGAGTAATAACTTCCTCCTCTCGGAGTCTAATTGCTAGTGATATTAATGCTCTACCCGAAATCAAACCCCACCACAATAACAGCTGTTCCAACGCATAATCCCAACTCAACATTCCAGGATATGGTATCTACAGCCTCTCCGGCAACCGTGAAAATACATGGCCAAAGATCTCCCGGCTTTTATACAAATTCTCCACCCGCAGCCGTTCATTGTACAAATGTGCGTTGTCGCTCGCCTGTCCACAAGGCAGATTCGCCGCGGGGGCGGAGAACTCCTTCTCCAGGAATCTGATGGTGGGGATCGAGCCACCCTCCCGGATGTAGATGGGACGCACCCGAGTCGGCTGGCTGGGATCAGCCACCTCCGGCGCGGGCTTCGGGGCTGCGGGTTCGTCGGCTGCGAGCGTCGTGGCGCCCGACTTGCTGGTTAGGGTCGAGGAGGTCGGGACCGCGGTGCTCAGCGACGACCGCTTGTGCGCAGACTTGCCGGTCGACGAGATCGTCGTGGACATGATGATGCGATCGATGTGGGAGGCCAGGCTATCCTCCGAGTCCGCCCGCTTGAGGCGCGGGTGCTGCTCCTTGGCGCGCTTCGTCGCCTCGAGGGTGCGTTGAGGGATCGTTTGAATGGGTGGGTATTGGTGTCGCTGGGTAGTGGTGTCCGGAGTCCAGGCGGCCGCGATCGCGTCGGCCAAGGTCTGGAACATCTCGTTGTCCGGATCGCCCAGCCAGGGGTCGGATTTACCCGTGATCTCGACGGTCAGGTCGTTCTGCGACTCCAGACTGTCGAAATGCTCCTGCGCGAAGAGCGTCAGATTGGTCGCCACTTCGTCGGCGGTCTGGTTCGGCACCAATCGGATCGATAAACTGGCCTTGGCCTTGCGAGAGATCGTCGTCGTAGCACTCTTGCTGCTGCCGGGCACCTCGATAGAGTGGATCGTCAGGGAGGGCTCACGCCAGCGGTGCATGAGCGAGTTGATGAACGCATCGCTGTCGGTGATTTCTGGGTGGTGGGGCAGGAGAATATCAGCGATTGCGGTGTACCGCTGCTTCTCCGCCTCGGTGAGGGGAAGAACAGGCTCATGGAACCCTGGCAGGTTGATTCGGCCCTTGGGTCCGACAAAGGTGCTCAGCAGCATGGTGAGATCTTTCAGTGGCTCGTCCAGTAACGAACTTCCGTCGATACCGCTGTGCAGGTCGGGATGGTCGCTCTGCACAACCAGGTTGGCGTTGACCACACCACGCAGCCCATATGTTAAGCAGGGGTTGTAGTCATCAAGCCAGTAACTATTAGCCAAGAGGATCCAGTCCACGGGGCCGATTTGAGGCTTATGCTTGCGGACTGTTTCGTGGAATCCCTGGGATCCCGACTCTTCTTCGCCTTCAATCAGGAAAACCACGTTACAGCGGAGTGCTTTCTGTCGAGCAAGGTCTGCTGCCGCATAAAGCGCCGCTAGAATGGGACCCTTGTTATCCGACACTCCGCGACCATAGAGGAAGCCGTCAATGGAAGTGAGCTGATACGGGTCGGTCTTCCACTTCGCCGCATTCGCATCCGCCCCAACAACATCGTAGTGGCCGTAGAATAAGATTGTTTTATCGACCTGGTCTGGAGATGTAGCATCAAATCGAGCATGCACGATGGGATTTGTGTCGGCTCCCGTGGTCAATAGATTGGTCTTCGCTCCGAGATAGATGCAGTGACGACGAAGGAACGCTGCACCCTGGTTGCATTCAACCGCAAATTTGGGACTGGCTGACACAGTCTTGTAGGCGACAAACTTGGCCAGGGAGTTGACCATTTCATCTGTTCGAAATTAGCTCACGTAGCAAACTACCTCGCCCCAGTCCGCCATGCGGGACGTACCATTATTGATTGGCGGCTTTTCGGCTTGACCTCCCCGAGTCACGTCCGTCACGTCCCAAATGCCGACCGTATTGTCGTTGCCGCCGCTCGCGTAGATGTAGCGATCTTTGTACTGACCAGCAGCAGACGCGAGCATAGTCCCTCCGTGAGCAACCCAGCTGCCGATCTCCTCGAACCGCGAGTTGAATTTCTGCGGCACGCAATCAGTCGACGGTTCCGCAGCATCAAGAGAATTAGTCAGGGGATCGCCTACCTTGATCACACCGTTGGAATCTCCACAGACCGCCACGCCGTGAATAATGTCTACGGCCCACAGATCGCCGGTGTGCATGGCGATGCGTTTGACCAGCTGCCGCGAATCAAGGTTCCAGATGTTGAGCGCACCTCCAGCCAAACCACAGTAGAGGAAGGATCCGTCAACGGCGATGGAGAGAACGGAATCCCCGTTCTGCAGCTTCGCGATCGGGGACGGAACGGCGTTGGCCGAGTTCTGCTCCAAACGCCACAGCTTGACCACCCCATCGCCGGCACCCGTCAGAAGCACCTCTTCCTCTGGAGAAGACTCAATCAAGCCCTTGACCAGAAGCATGGTGTATACGTAGCCGTGGTGGGCAAAGAGCTTATGGTGGTCGCGTTTGAAAGTCAGCACTTGGCCACCCTGCATGACTGAATGAGGTCCCTCGGCGCCTGCGTCCGGCCGCGGCGCACGCGAACCATCCGGACCCCTGGAGTCGAAAAAGCGATGGGTCCGTCGGGACAACTGCGCCGCCGATGACTGTGCTGAAGCTGCATCGACCTGGGAGATGTCGCACCACTGAGGAATTTCAGCAATCAGTAGCCCATGTTGGCTAGGGTGGGCAAGAGACTGACCTGAATGCTGGTGTTCTGAGCACCGCAGTAGATCGTCTTCAAGCTCGACGAATAAGCGACCGCGAAGATATCTCCAACATCGTGGTGGGAGTGGATCGAATACAGCCGGTCGAATGTCCTCGTCGACCATACCTACCGAGGTCAGCAAGCTCCTGGTAGAGAAAACATGGAAGGGTAAAGCACTACATTAACAACAGAATCTCCGCCCGTGGAGAAGAGCAGCTCTCCGTCTTCGGACAAGTAAAGATCAAGGACACTTTCCTGATGAGCGTGCACCGAGAGCACAAGATCATAGGTCTCCAAAGACCAAGCCTAGATTTTGTCTTAGCATTTGTGACAGATAGCAGACCAATCGGTATATTCGGAGACTTGCTCCCACGTACTACAATGTCTCCCCCCTGCAGACCAGCAAAGACACATTCTTTGTCGAGCACGAGGGCCAGAACCGAGCGACTGGCTTGTACGCGGTGGCCGATAGCACCGCATTCGACTGGAGCCGGAAGTTCGGCCTCATCCTGGGCCAGATGGGCCGCCGTCACGGAGCGCGGATCGGACTCCCAGAGCTTGGTCTGATCATCGGTCTCTGATGTACCATCAGACTCGACGAGTACTGTATGATCCATTGCTCCTGGCAATGGAGCTCAAAAAAGTCTTAGCCTTGTTTTTTAACCTTTCTCTTATTTTTTTTTTTTTTTCAAGAACGAGACAAAATAAAAGTTTCTAAAACCAAGATGATTCTGGGGGATCAATGAACGGCTGAATTCACGTGACGTGTGATAAATGATGTGATGGAATGCGGTGAGACGCAGGGCAAAAGCGGTCGATTTTGATCGCGTGAGTGAGTCAGTCGGAGCGAAGTCGGACACACGAATTAGACACGGCCACGACGGAGAGATCAAGGCAGAGAAGTAGTACTCCGTAAACCAGGGGCAATCTTAGTTTTCGGGGCTTCCAGGGATGTATCAGTCGCAGATGTTGCAAGACCGACTTGAAATTGTGAGATTGAGTCCGTGAGGAATGTCGGAGGTTGTTCTTGGCGTTCAAAAGTGGTGAAGAATAAAAAAGCAATAATGAATGGATGATAAATGATGAAATGTTGGCCCCAATGAGGATCGACGGGCGGTGTGGCGGTGTAGAGAGAAGAGAGAGAAGGAGAAGGGAGGACAAGCAAGCATGAGTGTAGACCGCCATTGAGACCGCCATCGATTTCCCCCGCCGTCCAGAATCATTGCCCGCAATCACTCTAAAGAAACCACACCAGACTCACCTCGATGCTCAACAGCGGGAGACTTCCAGCCACAGTTCTCCCTGGTCTTATATCAGCATATAGATCTCTCAAGCATCTCAAATGGGAAGCTACATTGCACAGAGAATGAAAAACTCCTAGGAGAGGACTCACCATGGCTCCCAAACAAGCCTCGCAATCAACGTCTCAGTCGTAGTAGTTGTGGTCGACATGGTAAATGAACCATCCCCTAGGATCCTCGAGTGATATGCGCACAACCTCCCCCTCGAGGGAATCTCCCCATTTCTTATAAAGTCGCCAACGAGATGAATAATGAAAAGGGGGGCGAACGGTTATGAACGGCCACGCAAACCCCACGCCCAGTAGGA